TTCATTGGAGTCTCACTCTGTCGCCCAGACTGGAGTGCAGTGGCCGCTCTCGGCCACCGCAGTCTCGACCTGCTGGGCTCCAGACGATCCTTCCGCCTCCGCCTTCCAAGTAGCTGGAACTACAGGCGCGTGCTACCACGCCCGGCTCATTTTTTAATTTATTGTAGAGATGATGTCTCACCAAGTTGCCCAGGCAGGTCTTGAACCCGCAGGCTCGGGCAATCCCCTCACCTCAGCCTCCCAAAGGCGTGGGATTACAGGCTGAGCCACCGAGCCTGGTTTTTAAAAATTTTATATGTCCTTAAAATGAATTAAAATTTAGGTTTAGCAGTGCCTTTTTTTCCCCCCTAGTCAAGCGAAACAGTGGGAGTAGAGAAGTACAGAGAATTCTGTAACTGGTTATGATCAATTAGTTGTAAACACCACTGCACTCGGACCAGCCAAGCAGTGCTTTTTTATCTGCCATAAAATGTCAAAGCTTTTAAACAGCCATGATGCGAGCAAGCAGAATTGGAATTTTTAGTGGACTTCGGCAAGAATAATTGTATGAGACTGGGCAAAGGAGATGACTGGGTAACTATTTAGGGGTGTTGGACTGTGCCCAGCACCACATCTGATTGTCATTCAGAGGAGCAGCTGAGGCTGAGATTGCTCGGATGAAAACCCTGCAGTGCCAAGACTTCCTGTTCTCTTGTCTCAGAACAGAACTGAAGCCTCCATATGGATCTCGGCCCAGTTTAAAAAATAAAGCCAATGGTCTCTTAGTCTCTATTGAACTACATTGTTGTAAAGAATATTTATTTGAAAAACAAGGTTACTAACTAGAAATAAAATTTGAAAGACTTGGGTGTCACTTCTTGTACCACTCAACATTCTTGATGTTTCCTGGGCCTCCAAATAATCTATTTATTTTTTCTTTGAGTAGGAGTCTCACTCTGTCATCCAGTCTTGAGTGCAGTGGCACTCTCACGGCCCCCGCAACTTTGTGTTGCTGGGCTTGGGTGATCCTTCTGTCTCAGCCTTCCAAGTAGCTGGAACTACAGGCATGCACTACCATGCCCAGCTAATTTTTTGATTTATTGTAGAGACGAGGTCTTGCCAAGTTGCCCAGACTGGTCTTGAACCCCTAGGTAGTTCTCTTGCCTCAGCTTTCCAAAATGCTGGGGTTATAGGCTTGAGCCACCGCGTCTGGCCCAGATAATCTATTTCTTAGGATTCCTGTGCCTGTTCTTGTTTTGTTTTTTGTTTTTTTAGTTTGTGTCTCACTCTGTTGCCCACGCTGGAGTGCAGTGCCACACTCACAGCCACTGCAGCCTCAACCTGCCGGGCTCAGGCAATCCTTCCACCTTAGCCTTCCAAGTAGCTGAGACCACAGGCATATGCCACCATACCTGGCTAACTTTTTTGATTTATTGTAGAGATGAAGTCTCTGCCAAGTTGTCCGGGCTGGTCTCAAACTGCTGGGTCCAGGATATTCTCTTGCTTTAGCCTCCCAAAGTGCTGGGATTACAGGCGTGAGTGACTGCACTCCGCCCTGTTAAATTATTTTTGTAAGGAAAATTCCTTTGTGAATTACAGTGTAATTTGTAAGTTCATACTGGCTTTGGGGTGGGGTTAATTGGTTTATCATTTAGTCTTTGGATACCCTGTGGTTGTCTTATTAGGGTAGATTGAGCAACAGCTGTGAGCTTGAGCTCTTTCCTGTAAAATTTTGGCATGACAGCACCTGGAATGTGGGAATGCTGAAAAAAAATGAGGATCAGCACCTTTTAGAAGCGCTGGCCCAAGTTTTCAGTTATTCGCTGTGCAATCCTGAGTACCATCCACTAATACATTGCAAACTGACTATGTCATACTCCATGGCCCATCGGTGTCCCTGGGAGCTAGAAAACATCCACATCTGCTTGAGACCTGGAAAACTGGTGGGAGGGTCATGGCACGTATGGCCCAGGCAATGTCTGTTCAGTGAGGTGTTTTTAATTTTTTTATTTTTAGTTAATTAATTAATTAGTGTTGTTATTATTTTTTGAATTGGAGTCTCTGTTGTCCAGGCTGGAGTGCAGGGGCATGCTCACGGCCACTGCAGTCTCAGTCTGCTGGGCTCAAGCGAACCTTCCTTCTGCTACAACCTTCCAGGTAGCTGGAACTACAGGAATGCACCACCACATCTGACAAACTTTTTGACTTATTGTAGAGATGAGGTCTCGCCAAGTTGCCCAGGCTGGTCTCAAACCCTGGGGCTCAAGCAATCCTCTCACCTGGGCCTCCCACAGTACTGGAATTATAACCGTGAGCCACTGCACCCAGCCGGGGTGTTTTTAATTTAAAAGAGAAGTGCATGTAATGATCCCTATCACTTCGTTGTGCTGGAAACATGAAGTGCTAACTCCATCCTTTCCTTTTTCTCCAGGCACATAAGGGAGAGACTGAAGAGTCAAGTCACTCAGATGAAGGTGCAAGTACCTGGTTTCACACCAGGCCTAGCCATTCTACAGGTATCATGATAGTATTTTTCCTTTGTATGATCCTTGTCAGTAGCATTTCTGGCATCGTGCATGTCAGATCTCACTCTCCATTTTCCTTCTTTTCTCAGGGGCCGGAGTGGGGTTTTCTGACCGCTCATACCATTTCAGCCTCTCTCTGCAGGCTCCCCTTAAGCTCAGCTTCTAGGTGTTGTCATGTCCTGGCCCTCTGCTCTTCTCTGTGGATGTGCTTTCCTTAGACCAGTGTCTTTTATTTTTTATTTTTGTCGATTGACTGAGTCAGAGTCTCATTCCATTGCCCAGGCTGGAGTGCAGTGGCACTGTCACAGCTATAGCAGCCTCAACCTGCTGGGCTCAGGTGATCCTTCCACCTCAGCCTTCTGAGTAGCTGAAAGAACTACAGGTGCATGCCACCACCAGCTAATATTTTTACTTATTGTAGTAATGAGGTCTCACCAAGTTGTCCAGGCGGGCCTTGAACTCCTGGACTCAGGTAATTCTCTCGCTTCCCCCTTCCTAAGTTTTGGGATTATAGGCATGAGCCACTGTGCCCAGCCAGGCAGTGTCTTTTTTTTTTTAGTTGGAGTCTCACTCTGTCACTCAGACTGGAGTGCAGTGGCTGCTCCCGGCCACTGCAACCTCGACCTGCTGGGCTCCGGTGATCCTTCCGCCTCATTCTTCCGAGTAGCTGGAACTATAGGTGTGCACTACCACGCCCAGCTAATTTTTTGATTTATTGTAGAGATGAGATCTTGCCAAGTTGCCCATGTGGGTCTTGAACCCATGGGCTCAGGCAATCCACTCACCTCACCCTCCCAAAGCGCGGGATTACAGGCTGAGCTACCGAGCCCGGCTTTTTTTTTTTTTTGAGTCAGAGTCTCACTCTGTTGCCCAGGCTGGAGTGCAGTGGCACATTCACGGCCATCACATCCTCGACCTGCTGGGTTCAGGTCTTCCTTTCTCTTCAGCCTTGTAGCAGGAACTACAGGCATGCACCACCACACCCAGCATTTGCCAGTATCTTTTTTTTTTGATTTGGAGTCTCACTCTGTCACCCAGACTGGAGTACAGTGGCCGCTCCCGGCCACCGCAGCCTTAAGTAGGCCCCTTGAACACCCCTTAAGATTTTGGTTTTTTTTTTTTTGAGTTGGAGTCTCACTCTGTCGCCTAGGCTGGTGTGCCGTGGCCACTCCCGGCCACCGCATCCTCGACCTGCTGGGTTCCAGCGATCCTTCTGCCTCAACCTTCCAAGTAGCCGGAATTACAGGCATGTGCTACCACACCCGGCTGATATTTTGATTTATTGTAGAGATGAGGTCTCACCAAGTTGCCCAGGCAGGTCTCGAACCCACGGGCTCAGGCGATCCACTCCCTCAGCCTCCCAAAGGTGTGGGATTACAGGCTGAGCCACCGAGCCCAGCCACCCTTAAGATTTTAAGACCTCAAGGAGCTTTTGTTTATACAGATGTAGCCATTAATGCTTACTGTATAGAAATTAAAACAAAGAGATGTTAAAAATACTCATGTAATATGTCAATAATAAACTCATATGTTAGCACAAATAACACTTATATGGAAAAGTAACTTTTTGAAAACAAAATTTACCGAAAAGGGGGGCATTTTTTAGTTTTTGTTTTTGAGTTGGAGTCTCACTCTGTCACCCAGACTGGAGTGCAGTGGCCGCTCCTGGCCACCGCAGCCTGGACCTGCTGGGCTCCGGCGATCCTTCCGCCTCAGCCTTCCAAGTAGCTGGAACTACAGGCGTGCGCTACTACGCCCGGCTAATTTTTTTATTTATTGTAGGGATGAGATCTCACCAAGTTGCCTAGGTGGATCTCGAACCCGCGGGCTCAGGCAATTCACTCTCCTCAGCCTCCCAAAGGCGCGGGATTGCAGGCTGAGCCACTGAGCCCAGCTATTTTTAATTTTTGTACACAGCTCTTTACTGTCTGGCTTAATGGAAGAGAGCTGGGTTCCCGTGTGCTGTTTTTTTTTTGCTTTGCTTTGTTTTTTTCTGTTTTGTTTTGTTTGAGTCGGGGTCTTGCTCAGTCGCTAAGGCTGAAGTGCAGTGGCACAATCATGGCTTAACGCAGCCTTGACCTCCTGGGCTCAGGCAATTCTTCTTCAGCTGCCTCCAGTAGCTGGGACTACAGGCCTGCCACACCACAGCTGGCCTTTTTTTTTTTAATTTTTGTAGAGACAAGGTCTCACTATATTGGCTAGGCTGGTCTCAATCTCCTGGGCTCAAGCAATCCTCCTACCTTGGCCTTTCAAAGTGCTGGGATTATATGCGTGAGCTACTACACCCACACTATATGCTTTCTTCAATGAAATTTATGAAGAAAATTTGGCCTTAGATAGATGATGCATAGTTGAAAAAGGGAAGAATTTTTTTAGTAGTCTCAGAGGAAGCCAGGCGTGGTGGCTCACTCCTATAATCCCAGCACTTTGGGAGGCAGAAGCAAAAGGACTGCCTAAGCACACAAGTTCTAGACCGGCCTAGGCAACTTGGAGAGACCTCATCTCTACAATAAATCAAAAAGTAACCAGCCATGGTGGCGCACACCTGTGATTCCAGCTACTTGGAAGGCTGAAGTGGAAGGAAGTTTCGTCTGAGCCCAGCAGGTTGAGGCTGTGGTAGCGATTTGCATGCCACTGCACTCCAGCCTGGGCAACAGAGTGAGACTCCAACTCAGAAAAAACAGTCTCAGAGAATTGTGGATATCTCTTTGTTACTGTACTTGTTAAGTAAACTTTTAAAGATTAGTTACAATATAGAATCTGAAACTCTGTCAGTGAATTTCTATGCTTTATTATATCTTTTCAGGCTTACATACTTTGTTACATCAAAATATTATATTTGGAATGGATATTTACCTTTGTCAGGTTTTGTTACAGCCTTTGTTTCTCATTTGGGAAACAGTAGTTTCCTGAATCTTGCTCTTTCAAATGCTAACACATTTCATTATGCAGTATAAAAAAATCACAGTCATTGATATCACCGATGAGCTCATCAGAAAAGTTTTGAAGTATTGCGACGCTGTTAAGCTCACTGAATTGGATAAAAAATTATAACTTTCACTTGAAAACTGAAAATTTATCATTGGCAACAAATATAGTTAGTTGTTTTCCTTGAAGTACCAGGTTCACTGTATTCATTTCTGAGGAAATATTTGCCAGACACTCAAGCCTGAAGAATCATTGTCAGTTGTTCTTACTAGTAAAGATGGTGTTCCATACAAAAATGCAACTCGTTCAGCTTGTGAGGCAAAGCAGCAAGGGTGCTTTTCCTGGGGAAAACCACCATACTTCTGTGCAGCAGAAATGCTTTATGCATACTTCTAGTTCATGGCAGAGAATATGGAGAAGACATGCACTCAAGGGTCGAGGCTTAATAAAATGAATGATGTGAACTGCTTCATCACAGGCATGCCTAGGTGAGACTGGCATCTGTTGTGACTTAGCATGGCAGTGAAGGATACCTTGACAACCAGTCCAGTTTGGTGCCGCTGTCCTGACTTGTGTTGTCACCAGCAGTCCTGTCCACCATTGCTTTTGCACCACCAGTACAGATGTCAACACAACGAAAAGGGCCAGTGGCATCGCAGGAGTATTACTATGAGTTTGGCCCTCACAGATCTTTCAGAAGGTCTTGGGGGTCCTTCAGGAGTGTGTGGGCCACGCTTGGGGAACCATTGCCAAGGCATTTCCACCTGGTAAGCCAGTAACCCCTAAATCACGATCTCTTCTGAGTTTGAACAGTGGTTTTGGAGATGCCACTTATTTTCTTTCCTCCTCTAGTCTCTTGTCCCGTTGCTCATCTCCTGATCCCTGAGTATGTTAGGGCCCAGGCCAGGTCTCTTCTCCACCTTATTCTTCCATAAGCGACCTCACCAGCCCTGAGCTTCATGAGGGAATACTTCCCAATTAAAGTCTCTATCCTGAGTTTCTCCCCTTAGTTCCAGATTCATCCAGTAGGGAGGCATTCAGTAAATATTTGTATGGACAGATGTACCAGTGAATGTTCGAAGTGTTAACTTGGATGCCAGGAAGCTCATGACTTTAATTTGAAACTCTTGTCATGCCAGATACAGTGGCTAACGCCTATAATCCCATCACTCTGGGAGGCCAAAGCAGGAGGATCACTTGAGCCCAAAAGTTCAAGACCAGACTGGGCAATTTAACGAGAACTTATTACTACAAAAAATAGAAAAAATCAGCCGGTCAGAGTGGTACATGCCTGTAGGCCCAGTTACTCGGGAAGCTGAGATGGGAGACTTACTTGAACCCAGGAAGTGGAGGCTGCAGTAAGCTGTGATCATGCCTCTGCACTCCAGCCTGGATGACAGAGTGAGACCCCAACTCAAAAAAAAGAAAAGAAACTTCCTTCAGCAACGCTGGCTTCCTCACATTCTGCCTCTGTGTGTCTCCACATACATATCTAATCACTTCCTAAACTCGGATTCCTCTTTCATCCAGCATTTCAGTGTGAAAAGTACTTCAATATCCCCTTCCCTCCCACTGCTGTTCATACAGGAGGCCTTAGCTGAGGAGAAAGGTGCAAAAGCCTGGTGTTCTGTGCCTGGCGTGTTCTCTCCTGTGGTGGGCTTTCTTTTTTTTGCAAATTGCTAAGAATCAAAGTATAAGCTGTGGGTGTATTATGGTATATTTGGGGATTGGCTATTTCTTGGCATTTTCTTGCAACTTGTTGTAGAAAGAGTAAATGTCACAGGCAAGAAGTATATTTCTTAGCAACATTGGGAGGTGGGTTGTTCCCTTTTTTAAAAATTGACTTCCAGCCTCGTTTTTCAGTTTGTTGATTACAAGTGTTTTTGTTGCATAAACTCTGTTCTATAGCCGGTCTCCTATGTCCCTGCTGATCAAGAAGTGGTAGAATCTTTTCTTTTTCTTTTTTTTTTCTTTTTGCACATTAGCGCCAGAGTCAACATCTTTCTGTGACAGGAGACTCACATAACACGTAGTCTCATCTCTCTGCCTCAGATTTCTTGTCTTTTCCATGTTGTGGCTGGCACGGCTGTCTTCCTGCACACCCAAGCCAGAAGCCTGAAGTGGTCTCTTTCCTCTTCCTCACTCACATCCAGTTAGGGGCCACTGTCCTATTCATTCTGCTGCTTAGAAGCTCTTGGAGTTCGTTCCCTCCTCCTGATTCCTATTTCTCCCATCCCTGGGACCACTATAGTCTTCTGCTTGCTGGTTTTAGGCTTCTGTCTCGACACCTGTCTGTCCCCGTGACCAGAACTGTAGCCCTTGTTAAAATGCAAGTCTGACCACAATCCATCCAGTCACAACCACCTTCCATCCTATAACCTGAGGAGTGGCAGTACAGTTTGGGTGTCCCGTATCTGAAATGCTTGGGACCAGAAATGTTTCAGATATCAGGGTTTTTTGGGAATATTTGCACATTCCCATTCTTGGGAATTCATTTACGTTTCATCCACACCTTACAGACATAGCCTGAAGGTAATTTTATACAACATTTATAATAATTTTGTGCATGAAACAAAGTTTTGACTGTGACCCGTCATGTGAAGTCAGGTGTGAAACTTTCTTATGGTATCATGGCAGCTCAAAAATTTATTATTTTGGATTTCAGATTTTTGGATTAGGGATGCTTAACCTGTACTACTTATATAGAATGTCTACAGCAGTTCCAATGATTTGTATGTGTTTCTAATTGTTATTTGTTTATTTAGAGTCAGGGTCTCACTCTGTTGCCCAGGGTAGAGTGCAGTGGTGCAATCATGGCTTACTGCAGCCTTACCTCTTGGGCTCAGGTGATCCTTCTGCCTCAGCCTCCCAAAGTGCTGAGATTATAGGTGTGAGCCCCTGTGCCCCTGGCCTAATTATTCTAATTTTTAAATTGCCCCTACAAGATAGGAGATGTCCTCTTATAGTCACAGTAACTGATACACAAAGATCTTGGGTACATTGTCCAAAGCCAGTCAGGAAGGGACTGAGTCTGGGACATGAACCCAGGTCTGTCTCCAAAACTCATTTGTTTTTCTAATTCCTTAGCATCACAGTGAAGGACAGTCATGATCTGGCTCAAGTATATGTATAAAAGTCAGGATTTTAAAAATAAATGGGTGGATAACATCCAAAATAACTGAATATTTATAGGAAATTAAGACTTGATGTTTCGCCGGGCTCAGTGACTCAGCCTGTAACCCTGTGCCTTGGGAGGCTGAGGTGAGTGGATTGCCTGAGCCCGTGGGTTTGAGACCCGCCTAGGCAACTTGGTGAGACCTCATCTCTACAATAAATCAAAAAAAATTAGCTGGGTGTGGTAGCGTGCACCTGTAGTTCCAGCGACTTGGAAGGCTGAGGTGAAAGGATCGCCAGAACCCAGCAGGTCGAGGCTGTGGTGGCTGGGAACGGTCACTATACTCCAGTCTGGGTGACAGAGTGAGACTCCAACTCAAAAAAAAAAAAAAAAGGCTTGACGTTTCATTATAAGGGATACTACAGAGACTGTATTTCCACCCCCTTAGCACATGAAATTCTTGAATTATATCAATCATATAAATAGCTTAGCACTTCCTAACAGGAACTATCCAGAGTGCTTTATGTATAACAACTTACTCAGTTCTCAGAAACAGCACAAACAGAAGCAGTGAAATTTATTAACTCAACTGCCTTGAATATCTGCAAAAAGTTCCTGAAACAGAAAGAAAAATGAATGTATAGACCAATACCCAAAATATTTTATGGTGACAAACAGGGATTAGTAAACCGTGGTCCACGTCCAAACGCTACCCAGGTGATAAAGGGTTAAAGCAGCAGCCCAGAGAGCCTGACGAACACATGCTGTCTGCTCCCTTTGCAGAAACAGTTTGCAGACTCCTGGTGTGGGGGGAAAAATGTCTTTATTCTGGAATAGCCCCTTTTTGGATGATGTATTACATAACCATCTTAAGGAAAAATCAGCATTCCTGATAAAATGTTTAAGTAATTTTCTTGATAAACTGTAATGGGATTAAGACTTGTTCCAGGAAATCAGTCTTCCACCCACCCACTTGACTGCCAGTCAAGAATCTGCTGTTCCTTAACTAAACATTCTTTTTGCATCTAGTCTGTCAATGATTATGATTATGTAACCATTTTCCTCTATAAGATGTCCCTGCTAAGAGTGATTCTTTGAATTGGCTACTTAGAGGTCTTTTCCTTTGCATTAGGAAAACTTTGACTTATGCTAATTACCAGAACTATTAAGTTTTCTTTTTGCAACTGGTGGCAGTTTAGAACTTTAGATAAACTCCTTCAGAAACATGCAGGCAGAAAACAATTACATATATAGGAGCAACAACAAAGGACCTAGACTTCTGTTCTGTGACACTTGGTGCCAACGACTGTATCGCTAAAAGAAAGTGCTGTCACTCCAAATCCTTCGAGTGCAAGGGACAGCAGAAAAATATTTTCAGGAACACAGACTTAGAAAAGTACCCACATACCTTTTCTGGAAAAGTGACTTATAGTGGGACTTCATCTACCTGAGAGATGGATGAAGATAAACTCCAGAACAGAGAAGGTGCAGCTTAAAGAGGACTGGCAGAGCCAGGCGCAGTGGCTGAAACCTGTAAGCCCAGCGCTTTGGGAAGCCGAGGCAAGAGGATTGCCTGAGCCCAAGGGTTCGAGACCAGGCTGGGCAACTTGGTGAGATCTTGTCTCCACAGTTAATCAAAAAATAGTTGGGCATGGTGGCACGTGCCTGTAGTTCCAGCTACTTGGGAGGCTGAGGTGGAAGGATCACCTGAGCCTCGCAGATTGACGCTGGGGTGGCTGTGAGCAAGCCATTGCTCTCCAGCCTGGGGAACAGAGTGAGACTCCAACTCAAAAAAAAGAAAAAAAAGAACTGGCAGTGATTGATAAAGTTTTAGCGTTAGGTCAAAATAACTAATTGTAGATGTAAACATGAATGAAAATATAAATAATAATAGCTGTATGTAGAACTACTTCCTTTCTTTGTTCTAAGAATTCCAAAGTGTATCAAATCTGGTTAACAGTCAGTGAGGGTTAGGTGGTAGGGACAAAGTTTATAGAAGATGACCAGAGAGTGTGATGGCTCATGTCTATAATCTCAGCACTTTGGGAGGCCAAGGCGAGAGAGTTGCTTGAGCCCAGAATTAAGTGAGAACTTAATTCTACAAAAAAATTTAAAAATGAGTTGGCCATGGTGGTGCACATCTGTAGTCCTAGCTACTCAGGAGGCTGAGGCAGAAGGATCACCTGGATCACAGGAGGTTGAGGCTGTGGTGAGTTGCCATTGTGCCACTGCACTCCAGCCTGGGTAACAGTAAGGCACTGTCTCCAAAAAAAGAGAGAAAATTACCAGAAAGAAACATGAGGGGCACTAAAATTCTAGGGAGGTCCCCACAGGAAGTACTTAGGTATGACTAATCTATAAAACAAAATCAAAGGACGCCTCTGGGTTCTTGAAATTCAAATTACCACCACAAACTTGAGAATTATCCATATAAAGGACAACTTAAGCTAAGACTCAGGGCACATCCCTGAGACCCGAGGGTGGCGTCAGCATTGACGTCATCTGGAAACAAGGTCTGGAAATACTCTCATGAAGGCTGGTGTCTTCCTCTGTCATGGTCCTCTTAAAAGGGGCCGTGCTTTAACTGTCTCTGGTATCAAGGGACCCACCACGTTTCCCTCTGCCATTTTGGGAGAAACCAAACTTATTGTGGCATAACCTTGAAATGGAGAAATATCAGCCACTGGAGCATGGAAACCTATTTGTAAAATAAGACTTTACAGCTAAATAGTTATAATTAAAACTTCCAAATATGTTCATGATTAAAGAAATAGAGGTGACATAGTGAGACACCGCATAGTGGTTCAAAGGTTCTAGCACTTTCTCTCTGGCTTGAGGGTGGCAGATTGCCCTTTGCCTGGCCGGGTGTCTGGTCTGTGTAAGCTAGAATGAGCTCCCCCTCCTGGTTTCTCTGTGGCTGGGCAAGGAGCTTCCTCTTCCCCTGGAACCGAGTGTGGGGAAAGGGTGCAGAATTTGCCCTCTGGGTACTCCTGCCTCAGATGTTTTCCTTGCCTAGTGACAGTCCTCCATGTCCTGTTGATCTGATATATCAGCAGAAATTCCACGTTTCTGGGAGACCTGTAGCACCTGTCTCAGTTTCCAGTGCGGAAGCAACTGTCCTCTACTTTTTCTTTTGCTTCCGTTTTTGCATGGGTGTCAGGTGAGCCTAGTTTGGAGGGACTGTAACCCCACCTGTGTTCCCCTCCATCCTCCCTCCACCGCCTCCTTATGCTGCGGAGAAAGTTCTTGGCAACAAGAGGCACATGATTAAACATTCCTTTTATTAAAACTAAAATTGTAGAAGCTTTTCTGTACACTTTGCCTCTCCCTCATCACCTGATTTGTATGCATTTATTCTAGGTCGGCGACAGAGATGATTCCAATCTTTATATAAACGTGAAACTGAAGGCTGCTGAGGAGGTAACGCCCAGAGCTGCAGGGTGTCACCCCCACCTCCTCCCGGTCCCGTCGGTTGCCCCTTGCCCTCAGTGCTCCTCCCTGTGAAAACTTTTCTCACCTACGGCAGATGTTAGTTGATCTATTTTGCGAGTCAAAAATGGGTGACTTAGTTTGCATCCATTACAGTGAAGAGAAAAAAAAATGTGGCTTAGACCTATGGCCTTTGGTTTGCCCTTGAATTTTTGTTTTCTTGGCATCCCAAAGAGCAGCAGTAGTGAGCATGAGACTGCTGAAATGCAGTACTGCTGACAAATGAGGGATGGTGAATGGGTGTGTGAAGGGCTCGTTCTCCAGAACACACAGGGCTGACCAATGCCTCCTGGCTTGGTTTAGTGACGTCTGTAAGAGAAATGGGCCTATATCTCAAGTTTTCTTGCTATTTACCTGTTTTTAATGTTCATTTTGCAGATTGGGATCAAAGCCACACACATTAAGCTACCAAGAACAGCCACAGAATTTGAGGTCAGTTGTTATGAGTTAACCCAAGGGCAGTGAAGTGGTTTCCTCTCTGGTTTTTGTTTTAGTAACTTTGGGGACTTGTCACATTTAGTAAGACTTCCAGGTGTTCTTAATTCACAGACTCCACCTCCAGAAAATCCTTAACAGTACCCAGAGTAAAGGGTGCAGGCCTCAGAAGTGAAGATTGGGTACCAGAGCGTGACTGCAGTACCGCTGGCCTCCAAATCACCTGCAGTGTTCATGAAAACAGATCATTGGTCTGCAATTAGCTGCATTTTAAAAGCCACATATGTCTTCCCTTTATATGAGGTTCAAGAATAGGCAGAACAAATCAGTGGTGATTAAAACCAGAACTGTGGTTGCCTGGAGATAGGGGGATTAACTGGAAAGAGGCAGGAGAGAAAGGAACTTTCTGAGGTCTTGGAAAAGTTCTATGTCTGCACTGTCCAGTATGGTAGCCACTAGCCCCTGACAATATTTGCATTTAATTGAAATGAAAAATTCACTTCCCTGTGGCACTAGCCGCATTGCAAGACTTTAGTAGCTGCCATGATATGGTAGGGTGCAGTTGCTAGAACACTTCTCATCACAGAGAAGATGATTGGATGGTGTTTCTCTGTGTCTTGGATGGTGTTTCTCTGTGTCTTGATTGTAACATGGAGTAATAAGTTATTTAAGTTCTGAGCTCTTTTATTTGACAGATTTTTTTTGTTTTTGAGTTGGAGTCTCACTCTGTCTCCCAGACTGGAGTGCAGTGGCCGCTCCCGGCCACTGCAGCCTCGACCTGCTGGGCTCCGGCGATCCTTCCGCCTCAGCCTTCCAAGTAGCTGGAACTACAGGCGTGCGCTACCACACCCGACCAATTTTTTAATTTTACTGTAGAGATGAGGTCTTGCCAAGTTGCCCAGGTGGGTCTCGAACCCGCAGGCTCAGGCAGTCCACTCACCTCAGCCTCCCAAAGCGCGGGATTATGGGCTGAGCCACTGAGCCCCTCTGACAAATTTCTTACCAAACACCGGGGGGATGCAGTGTGTTAAGGTCCAGATGCTCTCAGGATTCACAGTGGAAGAAAATCCTGAGAAGACTGTCATTAAACTGTTGGGGGGAAATGGGACAACCTGATTTTTGCCTGAGAAAGCATTTCTCCCCCTTTTTGGTTTCTATGTGTTATACAAATTACATGTGGCATGCCTTTTAGGTGTTAAACCACATTATATCTTTGAATGAAGACGCTACTGTGCATGGGTTCATCGTGCAGCTGCCTTTAGATTCAGAGAATTCCATTAACACTGAAGCAGTGATCAATGCTATTGCACCAGAAAAGGATGTGGATGGGTGAGTGACTGGGCTTCAACGTCATACCACATGCTTCCATTTCTAATATATTTCTATTTTGGAAACACGCCGTGTTTGTGAGTTTTGTTTTTGTTTTTGCTTTTTTTTCTGAGTTGGGGTCTTACTCTGTCGCTCAGGCTGTAGTGCAGAGGCATGATCACAACTTACCACAGCCTTGACCTTGGGGGTTCAGATGATCCTTCTGCCTCAGCCTCCCAAGTAGCTGGGACTATAGGCATGTGCCACCACGCCCGGCTAATTTTTTTATGTTTTGTAAAGACGGGGTCTCACTGTGCTGCCCAGGCTGGTGTCCTCCTGGGCTCAAGCAGTTCTCCTGCCTTGGCCTCCCAAAGTGCTGGTATTATAGGCATGAGCCACCGTGCCGAGCCCATATTACTTTCTAAAGAGTAAAGACACCTAGTTACCTTTAATTTTTTTTCTTATTTTCATCACTTTTGTGACTTTAGGTTGACCAGTGTCAGTGCTGGGAAACTTGCTAGAGGCGACTTGAAGGACTGCTTCATTCCTTGTACACCTAAGGGATGCTTGGAACTCATCAAAGAGACAGGTAAAAGCAACAAGCCAAACAAAAAAGCCATTTCTTGGGACCTCGTCCTCACATGTGGAGGCATAGAGGGGGTCTACTGAGGGCCGTAAGTGAATGGACTTGACCAGCAGAAGGGCCTGTCTGCCAGGAGCTTTACATGAATTCACTCTTAAATTTTCTCAGCAACCCTAAAAAGGGGGTACCGTTATTGTTCAACAGTTAAGAAAACAGGCCCAGAGACTGAGCAATTTGTCCAAGAGGGCAGAAGTGAGGTTTGAATTCAGGGTTGCTTGAGTTCAAAGCAATTTATTTTTGTGAAAAAATAACCTATATGATTTGTTTGTTTGCTTGTTTGAGTTGGAGTCTTGCTTTGTCACCCAGGCTGGATGGCAGTAGTGGCACACTCCCGGCCACCGTGGCCTTGACCTACTGAGCTCAGGCGATCCTTCCACCTCAGCCTTCCAAGTAGCTGGAACTACAGGCACACGCCACCATGCCCGGCTAATTTTTTTTAATTTATTGTAGAGTTGAGGTCTCACCAAGTTGCCCAGGCTGGAACCCACGGACTCGAGCAGTCCTCTCTCCTTGACCTCCCAAAGTGCTGGAATTATAGGCGTGAGCCACCGTGCCCGGCCAACCTATGTGATTATAAGAATTTAGATAGTTTAAAAGGGTGCAGAGCGGAAAGTATCCCCCTAGCCTCCCCAGAAATGGTACAAGTCTCCTCCATAGTTCCAGGACTCTACAGATGACTGGACATGGGTCTCCTGCACAGTTGGCCATATTGTCCCGTTACTAGTAAGCACCTTGCTATTTTAATTTCACATGAATACTTTTAGCAGAGGTAATTTTTTACAGGGAGTTGGATCCTGTTAAAATGAAGCAGGTCAGAAGTTTTGAGTAGAAAATTTCATCCAGCGTAGATAAAGATTCTGTGTGGTTGGTAAGGAAAGGGCAAGCCCTAAGCCTCAGGGTGCCTGTTGCTATTCAGTCCTGCAGCTAGATTTCTGTTCTTCAGCATGTGTTGCAAACAGTGTATTGCAACTCGATAGGTACATTTTAAAAGTCCCGTGAGCTCCGGCAGTCATAGGCCCCCCCATTTGTTGACAGTCACGCCACTGTCTGCTCTGATGCAGCTTCAAGTCCACTGCTGAGCCCTAAAAAGTGTAGAAAATGGCTGGGCTCGGTGGCTCAGCCTGTAATCCCACACTTTGAGAGGCCGAGGTGAGTGGATTGCATGAGCCCATGGGTTCGAGACCAGCACAGCCTGGGCAACTTGGTGAGACCTCGTCTCTATACTAAATAAAAAATTAGCCAGGCGTGGTAGTGTGTGCCTGTAGTTCTGGCTACTTGGAAGGCTGAAGCGGAAGGATAGCTGGAGCCCCCAGCAGGTCGACGCTGGGGTGGCCGTGAGCATGCCACTGCCCTCTAGTCTGGGAGACAGAGTGAGACTACTACTCAAAAAAAAAGAAGAAAGAAAAGGAAAAAAGGTCACGTGTCACCACACCCAGCTATTTTTTACTGTAGAGACAAGGTCTTGCCAAGTTACCCAGGCTGGTCTCGAACCCCTGGACTCAGGCGATCCTCTCTCCTCTGCCTCTCAAAGTGCTGGAATTATAGATATGACCCACCACACCTGGTGAAAGGTACCTTCTAAAACTTTTAGATGCTTATTTCTGGATGTTCATGATGTGAACAGTATGTAAGAGCTTATCTTTTCTGTTAAAATTGATTTTGTGCAAGAAGTATTTGTCTTTTATTTCATTATTATTATTTTTATTTTGAGTTGGAGTCGCATTCTGTTGCCCAGGCTAGAGTGCAGTAGCATGCTGATGGCCACTGCAGCCTCAACCTACCAGGCTCAGGCGATCCTTCCACCTCAGTTTTCCAAGTAGCTGGAACTATAGGCATGCGTCACCATGCCCGGCTAATTTTTTGATTTATTATAGATATGAGGTCTCACCAAGTTGCCCAGGTTGGTCTTGAACCCATGGGCTCAGGCAATCCTCTCACCTCGGCCTCCCGAAGTGCTGGGATTATAGGTGTGAGCCACCGCACCTAGCTTGTTTTTTTATTTTTTTGAATTGGAATCTCACTTTGTTGCCCAGGCTTGAGTGCACTGGTATGTTCACAGACACAGACACCCCAGTGTCGACCTGCTGGGCTCGGGTAAGCCTTCCGCCTTAGCCTTCCAAGTAGCTGGAACTACAGGTGTGTGCTACCATGCCCAGCTAATTTTTTGATTTGTTGATTTATTGTCTTGCCAAGTTGCCCAGGCTGGTCTCGAACCCCTGGCTTAGGCTATGCTCTTGCCTCCACCTCCCAAAGTGCTGGGATTACATGTGTGAGCCACTGTGCCCAGCAAGAAGCTTGATTTATACTCCAGCTGCCTTGAGCAAGGGCCTACTGCCTTCATTCTTCACTTGGAGTCCCAAGACCCTCTCTCTGCTTTCTTCTGTATTAGCAGCTTACCCCTGGCTCTACTTGGTGACTCCAAACTGCTCAGGCCTTTCTTCATCCTCATTTCTAGTAGTCGTGGGATGGGATCTCATCGGCCAAGGGCTGAAATACTTGTCCCCTACAGACCCTGAAAAGGACATTGGTATATTGCCAGAAGAATGGATGCTGAGTGACTGGACACAGTGGTTCACCCTGTAATCCTAGCACTTAGGAGGCCAAGATGGGAGGATTGCTTGAGTTTGGGAGTTTGAGACGAGCCTGAGCAACATAAAGACACCTTGTAATCAAAAAATTAGCTGACTACACTTGTAGTCCCACCTACTCAGGAGGCCCAAGTGGAAAGATCAGCTGAGCCCTGGAGGTCGAGGCTGCGGTGACTGTGATTATGCCACTGCACTCCAGCCTGGGCTACAGAGGAAGACCCCGACTCCAAAAAAAAGAATGGATGCTGAGTAAGCAGAAAGCAAGCTTTCTACTACAGTTAAACGTCCCCTGCATTACTTCCCTGCAGGTAACCCCATGACTTAGGCCTTCTGCCAGAAGAGAAATTTGGATGTGGAACTGTATAAATCAGCTTGCCAGAGTGGGAAAGAATTTCTGATATGAGTCTAATTTCCTGCACCTGGCTCCACTCTGCTGTATACACCCAGCTTGTGCTAACTGTTGGCCATGTGATTTAATCTGATATCTTCTTCCATATGGTCGTGGAGCTGCATGTCTCAGGGCTCCTTTTTTCTTTGAGTGTAGGTTTTCTTCCCACTCCCCTATGACTCAATGAATGGATCTTGGCTTAAGCTGCTCTTAAAAGCCCACAGCAAGCAGGATGCATGTACAAGTTCTGATTTATAACTGAAACCCTGGAGTTGAGACTATTATTGCCAAAGAAGGAATGTTTTTAGGACAGTCTCTGTTTTGATGCTAAAAACTGTTTTTGGTATGAGAAGGAGGGCAGCTTCTTTCTCCCAGCTCTGATGCACGTGGGCTTTTCTTTTAGGGGTGCAGATTGCTGGAAGGCACGCTGTGGTGGTCGGGCGAAGCAAAATAGTAGGGGCCCCGATGCATGACTTACTTCTGTGGAACAATGCCACTGTGACCACCTGCCACTCCAAGACGGCCAATCTGGATAAGGAGGTAGGGGGGTTTGCTGGAGAGACGAAAGTGTTCTTTGTGTGTGTGTGTGTGTGGTGGGGTGTTCACACCCTGGGAACAGCTGACATCCAAGTGCCAGGCGCTGCCATACACTTTACCCTCATTATTAGCTCATTTAGCCCTGTACATAACTATTCTGTGATTCTGTCTCATTTTACAAGATGAAGAAACAAATTCAAATTTAAAACATTCCCAAGTTCATGCAAAGTTTGTTCTGTCTGCTTTCTGCCCCAGTGTGCATCTCAGTAGACAGGGATTCATAGTGCAGACGCTCAGCTTGCTGCCTAGAAGCCATATCCCACGTACGTACCAGTGACATCTGGCCTTGGGGGTGCTCCCAGGCGGTTGTGGGCAGTGGTCCCAGGACATCTCTGGCAGCTTATTCTTGACCAATTCCCAAGCCCAAGGATGCTCACATGCACATGATCTGTCTACAGTGCAGACTCTTGAAAGTGGAGAGAGAGCCAGAGAGAGACCTTGAACCTCCTCTGTTAATCCTCCCAAAGCAGTGCTCAAGCGGGAGCACCCACGTTCTGTGGGAGAGGGAGCAGCATCTAGGCACGATGCCATCCAGGGACATAGTCCAAGGCCTGTCACTTCGAGCCTGCACACCCTTCTACCTGCAGGTTCTCATCTAGTCCCCATTCGATCAATTGCCTGATGACAGGAGCCTTTTGGTATGTGTAGGCACAAGCACAGCACGTGGGGACTGTCAGGAACTGTGGCTTGTACACGAGGCTTTCACCCAATAGCCTGTAAAACAGCTGGTGACAACCAAGAATTTTGGTTTTTTGTTTTGTGTGTTTTTGAGATAGGGTCTTAACTCTGTTGCTCAGGCTGGAATTCAGTGACCTGATCACAGCTCATGGCAGCCTCATCTTCCTGGGTTCAGGTGATCCTTCTCCCTCAGCCTCCCAAGTAGCTGGGACTACAGGTGCATGCCACCATGCCAAACTAATTTTTGTAGTTTTTGTAGAGATGAGGTCTCACTGTGTTGTCCAGGCTGGTCTCAAACTCCTGGGCTGAAGCAGTTCTCCCACCAAAGAGCTGGGATTATAGGCGTGAGCACCTTACCCGGCTGACAACTAAGAGTTTAGTATAAAGCTCTGGGGTATCCTTTTCACTTCTAGATTTTTTTTGGTTTGTGTTTCATTATTTAAGTTGTGTCCAACTCCCCTTCTCCTAGGTAAATAAAGGTGACATTCTGGTTGTTGCAACTGGTCATCCTGAGATGGTGAAAGGGGAGTGGATCAAACCTGGGGCCATCGTCATCGACTGTGGGATCAATTATGTTCCAGGTGAGTTGCTGGAGGCAGAAGATGGCTTCTGGTGCAGGGCCAGGCGTGGCCGATGTCCAGGTCATTACATGAAGCCTGAGAGAACCTGTCGTCTCCTTTTACACTTGAAGTATTAAGGTTGGGAGACTGACCTGCCTGAGGGAACATGCCCTTAGTGGATGGGATAGTTGCCACTTGCAGACAGTGGTTTTAATTGCTGTGCTGTGCAGCTGCCAAGATAACTCTGTCTGGGGAGAACTTGGGAGCAGGGTGGGAGGGAGATGCTACTTTTCTTCATGTAGAGATCACCTTTATTTTAGCAAAGGTGATAGATGGGTTTAAAAATACAGTATAGGCCGGGCTTGGTGGCTCAGCCTGTAATCCCAGCACTTTGGGAGGCCATGGTGAGTGGATTGCCTGAGCCCGTGGGTTCAAGACCAGCCCAGGCAACTTGGCAAGACCCTTGTCTTTACAATAAAATTAAAAATAGCTGGGCATGGTAGTGTGCATCTGTAGTTCCGGCTATTCGGAAGGCTGAGGCAGAAGGATTGCTGGAGCCCAGCAGGTCGATGCTGGGGTGGCTGTGAGTGTGTGTGCCACTGCACTCCAGCCTGGGCAAAGGAATGAGACTCCAACTCAAAAAAAAAAAAATACAGTATAATCGTTGCAAAGTGTTGTGAGAGCCCGGAAGAGGGACTTAGTCTGTCAAGAGTTTTCTAGGAGGGCTTCACAAGGTAAATAATTTCACCTGGACTTTTCTAGGCAGAGAGGATACACCCAGCCTTTTTTTGGTGGGGCTGGGAGGAGTGGTCAGAGTTTCCCTCTGTTGCCCAGGTGACACACACTGTGCAGTGGTACAGTCACAACTCACTATAGCCTCAACCTCCTGGACTCAGGTGATCTTTCTGCCTCAGCCTCCTGAGTAGCTGGGACTGTAGGCACATGCCACTGCACATAGCTAATTTTTTTATTTTTTGTTTAGAGATGAGATGTCATTATGTTGCCCAGCCTAGTCTCGAACTCCTGGGCTCAAGCAATTCTCTGGCCTCAGCCTTCCAGAGTGTTGGGATTATAGGCATGAACCGTGCATCCAGCCAAGTGCAGCCTTCAAATCATGTCCAAAACTGCCTTTGACATCCTCATTCCCAGACTACCCCTCACTTCCCTCCTTTGGTTACTATCTCTATTCTTTCCTCAGTTCCGAAGCCTTATCCTTTCCCTCCCAGTCACTCCCTCTGTTGGATCAGTTTTTAACTATTAGGAATGATATTTCTTTCTCTTGTTCTCAGTGTCCCCCTCTCAGTTGAAGGACTGCTGAAACTTCCCTGGCTGTACCTGCTTCCCATGCGGGTCCAACACACGTGTGTGCCTTGCTGTGCTGGCTTCTGGCCTGGGCCTCTTAGCCTCCTCCTTCTTACGTGCTAGGCCCCTTAGCCTCACCCTAATCTCAGCAACCTCTGTGACCCCCTTGCCCCACTCGTGCTTTGTGAATGCCTGTTGTAAACTTGCAAGCAGGACCTCTTTCCCCTTGCATGTGCCTTGTCTGTCCTATGCGGTCCCCATGCCTGGACTTGCAGTGAGGCAAGCTATTCTCTCAAACATAAAATTTCACAGAACAATATAGCAAAACTTGTATGTATCAAGAAAGGAGCAGACTCTAATTGAGCAACTACTGTGCCCCAAGCACCACAACAGGCTGTGAGTGCAAAACTCAGTAAGGCTCAACCGTGAACTTCACTTTCACCTGCTTCCCCCCACCTCCTCTCTGTCTGTTCTTCCTTACAAACCTTGTTTGATGTCCCCTCATCCAGGGATGATCTCTCCTCTTGAAAACCTGTCTTGCCGGGCTCGGTGACTCAGCCTGTAATCCCACGCTTTGGGAGGCTGAGGTGAGTGGATTACCTGAGCCCGTGGGTTCGAGACCCGCCTGGGCAGACGAGACCTCATCTCTACAATAAATCAAAAAATTAACCAGGCGTGGTAGCACACACCTGTAGTTCCAGCTACTCGGAAGGCTGAGGCGGAAGGATCACCGGAGCCCAGCAGTCAAGGCTGCGGTGACTATGTGCGGGCACTGCACTCCAGTCTGGGTAACAGAGTGAGACTCCAACTCAAAAAAAAAAGAAAATCCGTCTTTTGCCTTCTCCCCTCCCATGGGACTTGGTGTTGCTTTTTTTCCCCCAAATAGAGATGGGATCTTGCTGTGTCACCCAGATTGATTTCAAACTCCTGGTTTCAAGCAGTCCTCTGCCTCAGCCTCCCAGAGTGCAGGGATTACAGGCATAAGCTGCCATGCTCAGCCTGGTGTTGCTTTTATTGTGCGTGTCTTGTGTGGTGTCCTGTATGCTCTTAGATGGTCTGCACCCCGTGGGCAGTGGTCCCTGTGATCCCATGTCCAGCTTTCTGCCTTCTGACCATCGATGCTCATATCTGTTGAACTGGTGAAGAGAGAGAGTGCAAGAATATATAATTTTTTCTCCCTTTTCAGCTCAAGTTTGAGATGTAGACACAGAGCTGCCAGGAACATTAGTCACTGTCAAGCCATCACCATTTTTAACCTCCCTCCCACTCTACCTACCATGCTTTTAAGACAGTAGCTCATAATTGATCATTCATTTTCCTGTGGTGTAATTATCTAATGGGCGGTAAAGAAATTGCGCTCTTGCAACTTCTCACTCGAAATACTTGCAATGTGACATTCAGGCTTCTTCTGTTGAAAGCCCTGTGTCTTCTGTATCATATTAGTGCTTTTGACTTTTTTGGATTCAGTGTGAGCTGCAAAAGCGCCTGGGTAGGGCTGTGAGTCTTGCAGATGGGTAGGAAATGTTGACTTAAACATGAAACTCACTGCCTGGCTCACACCGGTTCCTTACGTAGATGGTACAATGTGAATAAAATCAAAGTGGCATCTTCCCTGCTGGTAGCAGTGTGCTTACTAATCCTGGATATATAAGCAAATAAACGTCAGTGAGACTGGATGGTTGTTCTGCAAGGATGGCAGAATTGCTGAATTGCAGACCAGCGAGTTGGCTGCAGGACTAAAGACTGTTCTTTGCAAATTTGCATGTTAGAGGCACCATATTCCATAACTGGACCACTTCCTGGTTTACATTCTGATTATTTAAATCACTTGCATGGTCCACTCAGGGGTGACATTGTAAGTCACTTGCCAAATTAAGAATGAATTAAGGTGTGTGGGTTTTTTTCAAAAAAGGGATCTTTTTTAAAGATCCAAGAGCAGAGGAGAAGTATTGGCCAGAGACTCATGTCAAGTGTTCTTCTTGCTCAGCTATCCAAAGATAACGTTTTTGTTTGTGTTTTTTATCTCAAACACTGGCTTGAAGCCAGAGATAATTGAGAGGGTCTAGATTAATAGTGTTTTGTGTAGACGGATTAAAAAGAAGGAGTAAGCCGGGCTCAGTGGCTCAGCCTGTAATCCTGCGCCTTTGGGAGGCTGAGGTGAGTGGATTGCCTGATCCCGCGGGTTCGAGACCCGCCTGGGCAACTTGGTGAGACCTCATCTCTACAATAAATAAAAAAATTAGCCGGGTGTGGTAGCGCGCACCTGTAGTTCTAGCTATTTGGAAGGCTGAGGTGGAAGGATCGCCGGAACCCAGCAGGTTGAGGCTGCGGTGGCCGGGAGCGGCCACTGCACTCCAGTCTGGGCGATAGAGTGAGACTCCAACTCAAAAAAAAAAACAAGAAGGAGTAGATTCCTACCCTCTCCCAGTCCAGTCTCGGCCCACCCAGTAGAATGGCTGCTGACCTGGCTTCTGTTATTAGGGGACCCCCAAACTAAATGTAAAGGAGTTGGCATTCAGTTGGATCTGAAAGTTGAATTTTATACATGCAATTTCCTAGTGAAAGAGAAATTCTGGGGCTGGGGGTAGATAACCAAGATGTCTGCTCATCCCTGAAGCTGTACAGGTTGGGAGGGAGTCACTTTTCCCCATCACATAATCTATTTATGAAATGCCGTATATGCACCAGGCTGTTCTCAAGTCAGCCCTGGTAATGTTTGGTTTAGGAGCAAAACCAGCAATTGTATAGCAGTTGTGTGTGTCTCCCTCCTGTGGAGAAATGACAATGGCTAACATTAACAAACAGACGTGCAGGGGAGCAGGGCATGGTTGTTCACATCTGTAATCTCAGCACTTTGGAAGGCTGAGGCAAGAGGGTTGAGTTGAGGTGTTCGCGGTCAGTCTGGGAAACATAATGAGACCCTGTCTTTACAAGAAAATTAAAAATTATCTGTGCATAGTTGTGTCTGACTGTAGTCCCAGCTACTCGGGAGGCTGAGATGGGAGGACCATTTCAGCCCAGGAGTTGGAGGTTACAGTGAACTAGGATCACACCATTGTACCCAGCCTGGGCAACAGAGCAAGAACCTGTCTTTAATAAAACAAAGCCATGCAGAGGAGGTTTTAAGCCAACTTCAGTGTTAGGGCTACTAAAGACAAAGGGCCAACCTGCGACTGTTTCCCTGGCATTCTGAAACAACTTTAGGGGTTTTGAGAGGAGATGGCCTCCCGTCATTGACTGCCTTATAATCTTCTGGAAATCTGAAGCGGCCCCCAGTAGTTGTGTACATATAAAAATACCTTCAAGTACATATAAAAATACCTCACATATCTAGGGCAGGAAGAGAAACCCTTGTGTCTGGAGGCTTCTTTTTCCATTTAAAGAGTGTACCTGTTTTCTTCTCAGGCTCTTGGCAGACTTGGGAGGTGTAGGTAGTGTTATAATCCCCCTTTGCGGTTTTTGGACTTCAGATGAATCCAGAGCCCACAGGGCTGAGGCACTAACCACTAGTAGAAGAGCTGATCCTAGGCCTTAGGGCTCTTTTTATTCTTTTTTTTTTTAAGTTGAAGTCTCACTCTGTCACTCAGGCTGAGATGCAATGGCATGCTCCCGGCTACCTCAACCTCGGCCTGCCTGGCTCAGGTGATCCTTCCACCTCAGCCTTCCAGGTAGCTGGAATTACAGGCACATGCCATCACGCCCAGCTAATTTTTTGATTTATTGTAGAGATGAGGTCTTACCAAGATGCCCAGGCTGGTCTCAAACCCATGAGCTCAGACAATCCTTTCACCTCAGCCTCCCAAAGTGCTGGGATTATAGGCATGAGCCACTGCACCCAGCCTGTTTTTTTTGAGTTGAAGTCTCACTCTGTCACCCTGATTGGAGTACAGTGGCACAGCTTACCACAGCCTGGACTTCCTGGACTCGGCTGGTCTTTCTGCCTCAGTCTCTGACGTAGCTGGGACTACAGGCATGCACCGCTGTGCCTGGCTACTTTTTAATTTTTTTTTTTTAGAGAGATGAAGTTTTGCTGTGTTGCCCAGGCTGGTCTCAAACTCTTGGGGTCAAGTGATCCTCTTACCTTGGCCTCCCAAAGCGTTAGAATTATAGGCATAAGCTACCACACCCAGTGGGTCTAGGTTTCTTAATTCTGACTTTTTGGCTCCACCCAGAAACTTCCTCTCTCATTTGTGGAGATTGGAGCAGAGCAGAAAGAAGTGGAGATGTGGCTGAGACTCCACCAGATCCCACTTTGGGAGCCTTCTGCTTCAAGGTCTAGGCCAGAGCCCCAGCCCCTCTAGGAAGTGCCCTCAAGCCAAGTGTAGGATGCTCTCAGTGAGCCTTGATGCATCATTGTATTTTGTTCTTTTGAATAGCTATTCTTTGCCGGTAAGATGTGTAGTTGTTCTTAATATCCTTTTAAGGCAAGTGTAATTATGTTCTTTGCCTTTAGCATACATTTAAGTGGCTGCTTGTCTTTGGAATTGGATGTTGAATTGTTCCCCAGCTCACACAAGCAGCTTACAAAATGCTGACAGTTGCTGTAGAAACAGTATCTAGCAGCTGTGACATAGTTGGAGCTTTGTGCACCCAAAAAATCCCTTTGTAGGCCTTGGCAAATTAACATTTTAAAAGGTCTTCATTATATATGGGGTAGCTGGGGTTTTTTTTGGTTTTTTTGTTTTTTTGAGTTGGAGTCTCACTCTGTCACTCAGACTGGAGTGCAGTGACCGCTCCCGGCCACCGCAGCCTCAACCTGCTGGGCTGCGGTGATCCTTCCGCCTCAGCCTTCCAAGTAGCTGTAACTACGGGTGCGCGCTGCCACACCCGGCTAATTTTTGATTTATTGTAGAGACGAGCTCTCGCCAAGTTGCCCAGGTGGGTCTCGAACCCACGGGCTCAGGCAATCCACTCACCTCAGCCTCCCAAAGCGCGGTATTACAGGCTGAACCACCGAGCCCGGCTAGCTGGGGTTTTTTTGTTTTTTGTTTTGAGTTGGATTCTCACTCTGTCACCCATACTGGAGTACAGTGGCCGCTCCTGGCCACCGCAGCCTCGACCTGCTGGGCTCTGGCGATCCTTCCGCCTCAGCCTTCCGAGTAGCTGGAATTACAGGCATGCGCTACCACGCCTGGCTGATTTTTTGATTTATTGTAGAGATGAGGTCTCGCTGCCCAGGCGGGTCTCGAACCCACGGGCTCAGGCAATCCACTCACCTCAGCCTCCCAAAGGCGCAGGATTACAGGCTGAGCCACCGAGCCCGGCTTAGCTAGTTTTAAGAATTAAAAAAAATTTGGTATTTTATTTGTCACCTGAGGGACTACAAAAAGATTTTCTTATTTCTAAAAAACCATTTAAATCCCTTATGATTTTTTGCAGGTAAAATGATCTTCTCCCTAGGAAACAGCAAAACCTGTCATTCCATAGTTTTGTTTTTTTTTTTGAGTTAGGGTATCAATCTTTCATCCAGGCTGAATACAGTAGCATGATCATAGCTCACTGCAGCCTCAACCTCCTGGGCTCAAGCAATCCTCTCGTCTCAGCCTCCTGTGTACCTAGGACTATAGGCATGAGCCACCACATCTGGCTAATTTTTTTATTTGTTGTTACGTTGACTAAACTGGTCTGGAACCCCTAGACTCAAGTAATCTCCCCGCCTCAGCCTCCCAAAGTGCTGGGATTACGGGTGTGAGCCACTGTGCCCAGTGTCATCGCATAGCTTTTAAGTAAAGTGGGCTCTTGAACCCGATGGGACTAGCACACCCTAAAATTCTACTGAGTTTTTGTAATAAACTATTATAATTGATCACCAGGACTGGAAATTGACACCAGGATTGTGATTCTGAGACCTGGCTTTGATTTTTTTCCCTTTTGCCAGATGATACAAAGCCAAACGGGAGAAAAGTTGTGGGTGACGTGGCATACAGCGAGGCTCGGGAGCGCGCAGCCTTCATTACCCCTGTTCCTGGTGGCGTTGGGCCCATGACGGTTGCCATGCTCATGCAGGTATTTCCTTGTGAATAATAGTTTCTGTCATTGTTCTGAAAAGCCAAGAGTGGTGCTGCTTTTCTCCCCACGTAGAAACGTCAAAAACCTACTCAGAAGTTAAGATGTGAGTCTATTAAAGAGAAAAAGGAAATGGAAGAACAGAGAAATGGTGTCCATCACATTCATAGAGGAAAGTAGCGATGGCACGATTCTAATTTCCTTTGGAATATACTAAGTTCCAAAAATGTATTGTTATATAAAACTTATTGTAGTAGCAATGGCATAATTCTGATTTCCTCTGGAATATAATAAGTTCCAAAAAAAGGAAAGCGGGCTCACACTACCTTGGCTTGATCTGCATTGATTTGCTTGTCTCATTGACACACCCCTGCTGCTGTGGGGCAGGCAGCCCCGAGGCACGTTGGGTGCCTGTAGACTCTGGCATGGAGTGGACATGTATCAACAGTTGGGGCACGGAGCAGTCTGTGTAGTGATTGAACTGGAGTGACTGGGGTTTGGAGTAGAGGAGGGGCTTGAAACTATCACCTCTCCTCAGTTCCATTTGTGTCCTTTTGTCTAGAGCACGGTGGAGAGTGCAAAGCGTTTCCTGGAGAAGTTTCAGCCAGGAAAGTGGATAATTCAGTATAATCAACTTAACCTCAAGATACCTGTTCCAAGGTAAAAGGAAACTACATAAAACTCGGTGAATTGTGTTTTTTTTTTAGCTGACAGATACCATGGGTACATGCATGCTCCCTCTGAAATCACCTTCACAGGTTAAGGTGGGGCTGGGGATGTCATTACTTGTATGAGATTAATTAAATTCTGTGGATAAAGATGTTTTCATTTTTTTAATCAATATTTTTTATTATGATATTGTGGGGTACAGTTAAGGGTTAGGTGTACAAATATGCTTCATTCAGGCCCCCTTGTTGATAACAGGTGTCTCCCCGTCCCCAGACAGATGTTTGCTACCATTAGTCCCATCTCACCCCCCCCATAGTTTCCCACCACTGTCAGTCATTTTCTTATGGTAGTGTGTTGGATAATCAAGGTCCACTATATGAGTGAGAATGATAAAGATGTTTTCTATGTTGTTAAAGCGACATTGATATATCACGATCTTGCAAACCGAAGCCCATTGGTAAGCTGGCTCGAGAAATTGGTCTGCTGCCAGAAGAGGTAGAATTATATGGTGAAACCAAGGCCAAAGTCCTGCTGTCAGCGCTGAACCGCCTGAAGCACCAGGCTGATGGGAAATATGTGGTGGTGACCGGGTATGGCTTTACTCATTTTGCCAAGGGAATCTTACTATCCATCCTGATGACTACTACCAGGGGTTGCATTTGCTCTTAGCACAGATATGTGAGGGTGCCTTTAATTTGGTTTAAGCATTTTCACATGTATTTGATCTCGTTTGTCCCTTACAGCAATCCTGTAGGGTAGTTGGGAATAGATGCTATAGATGGTGATTGTTCAGAGATGAGAAAATTGGTCAAATTTATCCATCTAGTAAGTGGAAGAGTTTGGTGGGATTCTTTGTTTGTTTTTTGAGTAGGCATCTCATGCTGTCACCCAGGCTGGAGTACAGTGGCATGCTCACAGGCAGCCTTGACCTGCTGGGCTCAAGTGATCCTTCTGCCTCAGCCTTCCAAGCAGCTGGAACCACAGGCGCATGTCACCTTGCCTGGCTAATTTTATGATTTATTGTAGAGATAAGGTCTTGCCATGCTGCTCAGGCTGGTCTTGAACCCCTGGGCTCAGGCAATCCTCTCACCTCTGCCTCCCAGAGTGCTGGGATTGCAGGCATGGGCCACTGTGCCCAGCTGAGTATGGTCTTAAAACGTGACCTTCAGATGGAATCCCTATTTTCTTTTAATCCAAAATTCATTAATTCTACTGAAGCTAAATGATGTATGACAGCTAATTTTTGAGACTGTAAATTGAGAAATTAAAATTATATTAGTTTCTTTCTAGCAGATAAAGGACACTTGCCCCTTATACAAGAAGAGCTAAAGTTCAGCATTCCTTTTTTTTTCTTTTTTTTTTTTTAATTTAAAGTTGTTTAGAGATTGTAACTAGGACTCTTGGAAGAGATTTCTTTCAGGGCTTGTGTCTTTCCTATTGTTTAGATTGGAGTCATTCTCTAGGGTCTGGTGGGTAAAATTAATTCCTCTTTTGCTTTCATCTTGAAGAATAACTCCGACGCCCCTGGGGGAAGGGAAGAGCACGACCACCATTGGGTTGGTGCAAGCCCTAGGCGCCCACCTCCACCAGAATGTCTTCGCATGTGTGCGGCAGCCGTCTCAAGGCCCCACCTTTGGGATAAAAGGTACGGGCGGGGCTGGATCCCACATGGCTGCAGGGCCCTGCCTCTCCTCTGACCCTCCCAGGCCCACTCAACCCTCGGATGCTTACAGGTCTTCACTTATTTAGATATCAGGGATATCCTCAATGCTCGCCATAGTAGTGCTCTTAGTGCAGGCTGTCATCAGGTCACCCAGCTCCTGCTGTCATGACTCGACACTGCACAGGGATTCTCAGTAATGGGTACTGTGTGGCTGGAGGTGCTTTTATTTGCCCCTAGTAGTCAACTGTCAAGGAAACAAAGGTAATCATAGCTATCGATCATTACACTCACACTCTGGAGACTAAGGCAGATGCCAGGGTGTTTTGCCCCCTTGGAAATAAAAGCCTGCCTTTGTTGAGTGTATGCTTTGTGCCAGGTATCGTGCCAAGTGGCTTATGCATATTCATTTATTTTATTCTTCAGTATGAGGTGGTAGTATCACCATCTAACAATAGCAGCAACCGGGGCTGCAGAGGCGACTTGGTCAAAGTCACTGTTATTAAGTACCAGAGGGTTCCCCGTGCCTGCCTTACTCTAAACCACTGCCATCAGCACAGTATTTCTTCTGATTTGATGAGAGCATGCATCCATAATCATACTTGACCTTGAGATTTTGATTGCTAAAGCACTGCAAACATGCTTTCTTGATTAAAATTATTTGTATTAACTATAGTGGGTTCTTAGAGATGTTCTACTCTGCTTGGTGACAGGTTATCACATTCTGCTTGTTCTGGCAGTTATGGTAGATGTTGGCACCCAGCACACCTTCACCCTTCCACCTATTTTGCAAATGTGCTGGCTGCATTCTGCTTCATCGTGAGCTCTTCCTGGTTCTGCCCATTGAGCCCATTATTTTCCTTTTTCTCTTATTGCGAGTTGCCTCACAGTGTAGTTTCTGTCTCACAAAACCAAAATCTCGATCTCAAATTTCCATTCATTTCACTGAGAAGGTGGTACCGTGGACACTTTTTATTAACCTTTTGTTAATACAAGATGAGCATTCCGAACCAGAAACCCAAAATCCACAATGCTCCCAAATCCAAAACATCTTGAGTGCCAATATCATGCTCAAAGGAAATGTCCCTGGAGCAGTTCAGATTTCGGATTCTGGATTTGGGATGCTTCACTGGTGCATGCAAATATTCTAAAATCTGAAATCCAAAGCACTTCTGGTCTCAACATTTTGAATAAGGCATCCTCAACCCAGTGGGCCAGCAAAAGTCTAGCAATTAGGCTGCTTTCTAACGTATGTTTCCTGTTTAGGAAGAACCGCGGTCTCATTAGGTGTATGTATTCTGAGTATTTCTTTTTTTAAAGCCAGAGTAGCTTTATGAGAGCAGGAAATGGAGCGGGTTTTCCTTTATGTAACTGTCGACTGGGTCTTTCAACAAATGGTAGGCATCCGGAAACCTGCTTCTAAAGATAATGAGTAGGTATGTGTGTGTTCATAATTTTGTCACTTATACCCAAATTTCAATTGAGAAACTATTCAGCCTTAGAAAACACTTGGTCACATCTGTCCAAGTGATTATAAGAAGTAAATAAATAACCTGCTTTGTAGTTACAAAACTCCATTTGCTTTTATTTGATTTCCAAGTTGTGGAGAAGCGTTCCTAAGCTGAGTCCCTACCTTTGACATGTCCTCTAGGTGGCGCTGCAGGAGGTGGCTATTCGCAGGTCATTCCTATGGAAGAGGTAAGTCACCCTGGGGTCTGGCTGAATCCAACCCTTTATTACAGATTTCCCCTCTAGAAGTTAACCTTTGTTTGCAGAACTCTGTGGACAAATGGCTTGTTTCTCAGAGAAGTAACATGGAGGGAGAAGCAGCCTAATTTATACTCTTGTGACATAGCTTGGTCTAAAGTCTGGCTTTCAGTGGAGATGATTATTTGAAGCCAGTGTTCCCATGAAGCACGGTCTTGCAGAGCCTGGACACCTGATGAATCCAGGGACCTATCACAGAAGCGGGAGCAGTGCATAGACACACAAGCAGAGTTGGTGCTGCCCTGGTGTAGTCCCTGCTCTCTGCTTAAAACGTAAACGTGTGCTCAGTAATCCAGTGTTGCTGTTGATCCCAGAGGTGTGGAATTTGTGGTCTCTGGACATGTTATTTTGGGAAAACTGCAAGTTCTGTGTTTGGGAGGTGTTTCTTCTGGGAACAGATGATCAGTTGTTTATGTTTTCAAGAGCTCCCTGTCAGGGCTGTTTGTCCACAAGCCGAGCTGCTATCAGTCTTCCATTGGATTTAAAATAGCGATGTATTTGTCGCAATAGACTGAAAGTTGGAAAGATACAGAGCAGATGGGAGACTGATGTGGCTTCTGTTCTCTTGCAGTTTAATCTCCACCTCACTGGTGACATCCACGCCATCACTGCAGCGAATAACCTGGTTGCTGCAGCCATTGATGCTCGAATATTCCATGAATTGACCCAGACAGACAAGGTAGGATGCCAGGGCCCCCAGTAGCCCCAGAAACAGTTCTGAAAGGGCTGAAGCACCCAGATCAGTGTTAGTGGCTTGGGTGCTGGTGACGTAGGTGGAAAGGCAGCAGGGCTCCTTTCATTTGAAAGCCCATTTCCCCCTTTCTTTCAGGCTCTCTTTAATCGTTTGGTGCCGTCAGTAAATGGAATGAGGAAATTCTCTGATATCCAAGTCCGAAGGTTAAGGGTAAGCTTTTTCCTTCTTCATTTTGTATATTATGTGAAATTTGCTAAAGGATAAGGAGGTAATATCTTTTTGGAGTAGGTTATTTTGGATTAAATTACATCGATAATGAGTCTTTTCCTTTTTTTTTTTTTTTTTGAGTCAGAGTTTCACTCTGTCACCCAGGCTGGAGTACAGTGGCATGCTTACGGCCACACAGCCTGATCTCCTGGGCTCAGGCGATCCTTCTGTCTCAGCCTTCCACAGCTGGAACCACAGGCATGTACCATTATACTGGCTAATTTTTTGATTTATTGTAGAGATGAGGTCTCACCAAGTCTCCTAGGCTGGTCTCAAACCCCTGGGCTCAGGCAATCCTCTAACCTTGGCCTCCCAAAGTGCTGGGATTACAGGTGTGAGCCACTGCTCCCGGCTAATGATCAGAGTCTTAAGGTCATGATATACACAGCAGGGACTAGTAGTACAGGTTATTTCTCATGTATCTATAAATTATAAGTGGCTAGTCCTGGAATTCGTAGAACACTGACAGCCTGCCCTCTGCTAAGAAGAAAAGCATCGCTTCCCTTATGCCACAGATGACAGCCAGGAGGCCATCTATTGTGCAGCACAGCGGCTTCTGGAGTTGGAGTCATTAGGACCTCCAGCAAAGTTACTGAGTTTCTTATCTTGTAGTTTACTCCTCTGCGAAATAGGAGTAATCATACTTGCCTTACTCTGCATAGATAAAGGTCTGTGTTAAGTAGCTAAAAGAGTGGTTACTTCTCCTGTAGTTCCAGCTACTTTGAAGGCAGAGGCGGAAGGATCACGGGAGCCCAGCAGGTCGAGGCTGCAGTGGCCAGGAGCGGCCACTGCGCTTCAGTCTGGGCGACAGAGTGAGACTCCAAAAAAAACAAAGGAGTGGTTACGTCTGTATTTTATTGGACTTTTTATAACATACACTCAATATGCATATGCTATGCCACCTGATCGAGAAATCCTGCTCATAGGTATTTCCCAAGAGAAATGAAAGCCTTGTTCACACACAAACTTGTACTGAATGTTTTTAGCAGCTCTGTTAATAATCTCCAGAATCTGGGAATAATCTAAATGTCTTTCAGTGGATGAATGGATAAGCAAACTTGGTATATCCATACAATCAAAAGAAATGAGCTATTGATTACAACAGTGTGGGTGGATCTCACAGGCATTGTTCTGATTGCAAGGATCCAGGCTCTGAAGGTTACACAGTTTGCTTCCATTGACGTGACATTCTCAAGAAGACAGAACTGGTGCTAGAGAAGAGACAATGGATGCCAAGGGCTTTGGGCTGAGGGAAGATGGGATTGAAAAGGAATAGCGCAAGTGAGTTTTAAAAATAAAATGCAGACCAGGCTCTGTAATCCCAGCATTTTGGGAGGCCGAGGCAAGTGAATTGTCTGAGCCCGCAGGTTCGAGACCTGCCTGGACAATTTGGCGAGACCTCATCTCTACAATAAATCAAAAATTAGCCGGGTGTGGTAGCCGCGCCTGTAGTTCTGGCTACTTGGAAGGCTGTGGCGGAAGGATCACTGGAGTCTAGCAGATTGACGCTGGGGTGACCGTGAGTGTGTCATGGCACTCCAACCAGGGCGATGGAGTGAGACTCCAACACACACAAAAAAATTATTTGGGCATGATAGTCCCAGTTACTTGGCAGACTGAGGTGAGGGAATCACCTGAGCCAAGGAGTTCGAGGCTGCAGTGAGCCAAGATTGTGTCACTGCACTCCAGTCTGGGCGACAGAGTAAGACTTTGTCTCTGAAAAATAAATAAATAAATAAAAAGCTCTAGGCTTTTAAATCAAGAAATTTGCCCAAGATTATAGGATCCCTTGCAGGGTGACAGCTAGAACCTAGGCCCCCATTCCTAGGTCCCCCTACATCCTTTGTCATGGGTTACCACGTCTACCCTGTGGTATTCAGTTAAGTGTGGGTCGTCAACAGCAGATTCTTAGCATAGCAGGTAAGAACTTCACTGGCTTCTGTCAACAATGTCACCTTCTAGGCTTTTAGGGCTATTTGACAAGCCAGTGAGCGTCCAGCACTGGAAGCACTTGAAGTTTTATAACAGGTCATCATGGCACAGGGGAGGAACCATAGGATAAGTGAAAGGAAACATGTCCCTTCCTCCCTCCCTCCCTCCCTTCCTTCCTTCCTTCCTTTCTTTCTTTCCTTCCTTTTTTTTGAGTAGGAGTCTCACTCTGTGGTCCAGGCAGGAGTGCAATGGCATGCTCGTGGCCACTGAAACCTCGATCTGCTGGGCTCCAATGATCCCTCCGCCTCAGGCTTCCAAGTAGCCAGAACTATAGGCGCGTGCTACAACGCCCGGCTAATTTTTTTATTTATTGTAGTTAGGAGGTCTTGCCAAGTTACCTGGGCTGGTCCCAAACCCTTGGGCTCCCAAAGTGCTAGGATTACAGACTGAGCCACTGAGCCCACCCTCATTTTTTTATTTATTGTAGAGACAAGGTCTCGCCATGTTGCCTAGGCTGGCCTTGAACCCATGGACTCAGGCAATACTCTCCCCTCTGCCTCGCCTCCACCTCCCAAAGTGCTTAGATTTCAGGCGTGAACCACCATGCCCGGCCTGCCTGCCCCCCTCCTTCCATCCTTCTTTCCCCCTCTCCCTCCCCGTGTCCCTCCCTCCCTCCTTTTTTGTTTCTGTTTTTTGATTCAGAGTCTCACTCTGTCATCCAGGCTGAAATGCAGTGGCACAATCATGATAATCACAGCTAACCAAACCCTCAATCTCCTGGGATCAGGTGAACCTTCCTTCTCAGCCTCCTGAGTAGCTGGGACTACAGGCACATACTACCCTGCCTGGCTAATTTTTTTTACAGATGTGGTTTCTCTGTTGTGCAGGCTAGTCTTGAATTCCTGGGCTCAAGTGAACCTCTCACCTAGGGTTCCTCCTAAAGTGCTAGGATTACAGGCACGAACCACCACGCCCAGCCAGGAACACATTCTATAAGCACTTTCCGTTTCAGGATGCGACCTAGGTATACCTTGTAAATACGTAAAATTTCCAAATTCTGTGAGGAGAAAATAAAACCCTTTTTTGAGCCGGGCTCAGTAGCTCAGCCTGTAATCCCGCGCTTTGGGAGGCTGAGGTGACTGGATTGCCTGAACCTGCGGGTTCGAGATCCGCCTGGGCAACTTGGCAAGACCTCTTCTCTACAATAAATCAAAAAATTAGCCGGGCGTGGTAGCACGCGCCTGTAGTTCCAGCTACTTGGAAGGCTGAGGCAGAAGGATCGCCGGAGCCCAGCAGGTCGAGGCTGCGGTGGCCAGGAGTGACCACTTCACTCCAGTCTGGGTGACAGAGTGAGACTCCAACTCAAAAAATAAGCAAATAAAACCCTTTTTGTGCCTTTTGGAATAGGAAGAAGTCGGTGAAAGTATAGCACTGCATAAAAGGCGTGTAAAAGGCATCGATTTGTATTGCTTGATCTTTAATTCTGCACTTCCTACAGTTTCATTTGAATTTGGCTTTTCGGTTGTCTAATTGAAAAAGCTTTGTGGCCAGGCTTGGTGGCTCAGCCTGTAATCTCAGCACTTTGGGAGGCCGAGGCAAGCAGATGGGCTGAGTCCGCAGGTTCAAGGCCAGCCCGGGCAACTTGGCAAGACCTCGACTCTACAATAAATAAAAAATTAGCTGGGCGTGGTAGTGCACATCTGTACTTCCGGCTACTTGGAAGGCTGAGGCGGAAGGATCAGCTGAGCCCAGCAGGTCAAGGCTGTGGTGGCCATGAATGTGCCTCTGCACTCCAGCCTGGGTGTCAGTGAGACTCTGACTCAAAAAAAAAAGCTTTGCACTTTGCAAAATTGCTTTTCCTGTCAATGTATTTGAGTTTGAATTAGAAAGTATAGGTGTCTTACAGCTCCTTTTGGTCACTCTGATTCTAGAGTGCCTTTAGGGAAATGTCCCTGGTGCTCACATATAGGGCCATAAATGCTCACAGTATATTGATACATGCTGGAAAGTTGCAGATACCAGGATGAAGTCACTATTGTGAGACCCAGGCAACGCAGAAGGCCCAAAGGCGAGGAGGTTTGTGCTTACATGTCTGATGTAAGAGCTGCTTCCAGAGACTTTCCAAAGCCTTACAAGAAGTCCCTCACATCCTTCACACAGCTCCTGCTCTGCATGGCTTGCATGTTCCACATATGTACATATGTTCCTGCAACAAGGCTGTCACTAGACATTCTTTAGGATTGCAATAATTCAGATAAGATGCTCTCAAAAGGACACCTGCCCAGTAATGGCATCTCTACCAGTGACCTGATGACTGACTGGGCTTGGGCCTCTGGAACCAGAGAACTCTGTTTCTGAGGAGCTTACAAGAGCCTCTCCACTGATCCTTCCCTTGCTGGATGCACGTGTGGCATCCCAGGTTATAATCCTCACTTACTCCTGAGTAAATTTAGCATGTTTGGAGATAATTTTCTTTAATGTCTTTTTTAAGGTTGGCAGGAAGAAATAGCCCCCAGCTTTAGCCAAAGGTGTTTCCCCTTCTGAATTTAAAGTGGTTTGCATCTCCCAGAGGGTATCTTATCTGGCAATGGAGTTAATTTTTTTTTAAATTTAATATGCCTCTGTTTGTTTTGTCTTATTCCATGCTTTCATTTTCCGACCTCGTCAGAGACTAGGCATTGAAAAGACTGACCCTACCACACTGACAGATGAAGAGATAAACAGATTCGCAAGGTTGGACATCGATCCAGAAACCATAACTTGGCAAAGAGGTACTAGAGCAGTAAACCAGTCCCTTTTGGGGGACTATTTTGCATACCCTACACCCTCTAAGGACTTGTTAAAATGTGAGGCCTAGAAGCTTCTGTGTTGGTATTTTCAGTTAAGGCATGACCGAGATGGTGACATTATTTGTTATTCTTGCCATCTCTGTCAGTATCTCTCTCCTTATTAGCTGTAATCAAGTCTCTCTTTGTTGGAGTGGTTGAGCATTTTGCTGGCTGTTCAGTGTTGATTGAAATGAGGGTGGTTTCAAGGAAGTTCATGCATAAACCAAAAATAACATTTTACAAGTTTCATTTTATGCAGAATGTGTCAGTGTCATGAAGTAGCAAGATTATGTTTAATCGCTTCAGGAATCATGTGACACCTTTATTCTCAGAATCCATGTCTGGCATAAGTGACTTGGTTTTTCCTGTAGCTTTCTTGCTTGCCTGATCATTTTTTACCTCATTTTATTAAATTCTCTTGCAACAGATGAGATGACCTCAAGGTTTAAATACTTAGCAGTTTAGTAAGGAAGTTGCCTGGCTTCACTGCCGCATGTCACTACTCAGTATGTACGAAACCAGCATGGCTGAGCATTTTATCCTGTGCCAAGAGTACACCCTTCTTCCTGTGTCATGGCTGAGGAATTTCCATCTGCCATGCAGGATGCAGCTAATGGCCAATTTATTGACTGTTTTTGTGATTTTTGTGGGCTCAAAAACTGTTGCTATCCAACAGCATTTTAAAAATGATGCTCTTAATATCTAAAACCAAGAGAATAAAGGTATTTCTCTTTCTTTGCTTCAATAGCTTTGGACAAATGGTACAATATTTTATAAGGCACAAACTAAAGATCCATTTTGAAAATATGGTATCTCATACTTTTCCTTTGCTTTGTATCTAATTCATGCTTTCTAAGAAAATAGGAGCAGACAAAAAAATGGATCATACCTATTGACGAGCTATTTTTTAAAGAAAAATTAGTTATAAGGAAATTGACAATTTTTAAAATAAGGTTGGCTCTAACAACACATTATATCCTTCCCTTATATGTGTGACGTGATGTGTGTGTGTATGTTTTAGGAGACACTGCTTTTTGTGTTTAAATTATGACAGTCTTCATGGAAAAATAATTTGTCATGTTTTCAAGTGCCTGAAAGATGCTTCTCCTTGCCTATCTAGAGGATGAGCTGGCTTTTGTTGTTCATTGTGTGTTTCATTGTTACTGTTTGGCATTTCATACTGGAATGGAAACTCCTCTTTCCTCACTGTGCCCACATTACTCTCAGTGCTTCCCTGCCCATGCCAGATGGGGAGGTTTTCTCTCCCACAACAATTCAACTCAGTCCTTCAGGGGATACTGACTGGGTGTCCTACGATTTAACTCAATTCTGACACTGACTGAAGCAGACCCCACAGGTTCGGGGTTCAGTCTCATGAGACTGCTCCCCGCTTCAGATACGAATCACAAGCCTACATTGTCACCTGTGTTTCTGACCAACTGGAGGTTACCATGACCCAGTCTTCAGGTTCACTCATTTGATGGAATGGCTTGCAGGAGACGGTTTACTTTTGTCTGGGGATATTACAAAGGCTGCAGCTCAGGGATGTAAGAGAAGGATGCGTGGGTCCCTCTCCCAGCACCTTACTGTGTGCACCAGCCAGGAAGCTCACCAGATCGTATTGTAGTGAGGTTTTTTTTTTTTGAGTTGGAGTCTCTCTGTCGCCCAGACTGGAGTACAGTGGCCGCTCCTGGCCCCCGCAACCTTGACCTGCTGGGCTCCAGCGACCCTTCCGACTCAGCCTTCCGAGTAGCCAGAATTACAGGCATGCACTACCACACCCGGCTGATTTTTTGATTTATTGTAGAAATGAGGTCTTGCTGCCCAGGCGGGCCTCGAACCCACGGGCTCAGGCAGTCCACTCACCTCAGCCTCCCAAAAGCGCGGGATTACAGGCTGAGCCACCGAGCCCGGCTTGTAGTGAGTTTTTCTAGGCCTTAGTCTCCATCCCCTACCCCCTACCTGGAGCTTAGTGGGTCGGACTGAAAGTTCCAGCCCTCTCTCTAATCACTTCATCTATTTGGTGACCAGGCCCCTCCTGAGGCTGTCTAGGGGATCCACCCCTACGTCACCTCGTTAGCATAAACTCAGGTGTGACCAAAAGGTGTTTGTTAGGAATTAACAAGACACTCTGTCACCCTTGAAATTCCAAGAGCTCTGTGGACCTCATGGCAAGAGTCCAGGACCACGATCAGATCTTTCCTGTTATTCTGCACATATCAAAACCAAAATTGGGAGTACACTAAAATGTTAACAGCAGTTGGGTGTAGTGGCTCATGCCTGTAATCCCAGCACTTTGGGAGGTGGAAGCGAGAGTATTGCCTGAGCCCATGGATTCGAGACCAGTCTGGGCAACATGGTGAAAGCTTGTCTCTACAGTAAATCAAAAAATTAGCTGGGCATGGTTGTACGCACCTGTAGTCCTGGCTACTTGGAAGGCTGAGGTGGAAGGATCATCCGAACCCAGCAAGTTGAGGCTGTGGTGGCCGTCAGCATGCCACTGCACTCCAGCCTAGGTGACATAGTGAGACTCCAACTCAAAAAAAAAAAAAAAATTTGTTAACAGCAGGTGGTCCTGGGAGGGGGTTAGGATCATTTTGTTAGTTGGTTGATCTTTGCATGTTTTGTGAGGTTATGCTGTATGTGAATGGCTATTCTGTCATCAGAATAGAAATGATCTCTTCCAAGTGCTGAAGACCAGGCCTAGTACCCAGTGTGTTTTAAAAGGCATCAGCACGTGCCCTGAGCTTATGGCTCCTGTGTTTCTGAGGGTTGGTGGAAGGTCAGTGAGTCATCACTCCACAGAGCAACAACACAAACCTCAGCCTTTTCAAAAGATGTAGACTGCTCTGTTTTTCTTGCAATATGGAACATGTTTTAAAAATAGAATCCAGATTTCTAGTTAATTGTTTGAATTCTCTAAAAGGAGTAAACCCAAGCCACTCCACATTCCTTTGCTTTTAAAATAATGCCTGTGTATTTATGGCACGTGGACACCGTTTCTTAATTTTAGCGTATATTCTAGCCTTACCATCAATTTTGAAACCAAATCTTAATAGGCAATCATTAAATTGGACTTGTCACTTTAACACTCTGCTGCTTCCTTTAACTTTGTGGGCCTTTCACTAAAAATCGCTGTGTGTCCTGCTTTTTGCTGCAGTGCTGGACACCAACGACAGGTTCCTGAGGAAGATCACGATTGGACAGGCTCCCACAGAGAAGGGGCACACGCGGACGGTAGCTATTTGTCCCTTTCCAAGTAGATGAGATCCTATGCACTGCATCTTGCTGCTTCTCTCCTCCTCCGTCCTCTCCCATACGATTGATACTGCCAGGTGCTGTTCTGCCTTCTCCCTTTTAATATGGCAGTGAGTGGGTGTGTGGTATTGAGCACTCCTGACAGCTTTTGCAATACATCCCATGTGTCACCTGTGTGTTTCCCCCCAGCCTTTTTTCCTGGAGGAGGAGAGCCCCCAGTGAGTGTCCTTGTAGAGAAATTGATTAAAATTGCTTCTTTCTTGTGGCCATTTTGTGGTATGTCTCCTTGGTGTAAGAGCGTTTGTGTTGTTCCTTTGTAGGTGAGGGAAACTGTCACCCCACAATTATCACAGGGATAAAACAATAGCTTTCTGGTCCCACCAGAACATCTATTTTTTTTTTTTAATTGAGTACTCAAGGTCTTGGAATAATTAATTACACATCTTTGCTATTGGAGGAATTTTTTTTTTTTTAGTTGGAGTCTCTGTCACCCATGCTGGAGGGCAGTGGCATGCTTCCAGCCACCACAGCCTTCGCCTACTGGGCTCCTGCGATCCCTCCGCGTCAGCCTTCCAAGTAGCTGGGACTACAGGCGTGCGCCTACCACGTCTGGCTAATTTTTTTTTAAACTTATTGTAGAGACAAGGTCTTGCCAAGTTTCCCGGGTGGGTCTAGAACCCATGTGCTCAGGCAGTCCTCTCACCTCGGCCTCCCAGAGTGCTGGGATTACAGGCTGAGCCTCCGAGCCCGGCTTAGAGGAATATTTTGTGTAGTATCCTGTTATTCTATCTTTTTAAGTTATTTGATTAAACCTCAGATGCAAAAGAAAAGATGACTTTTGCAGTTCATGAATCCTGTTTAACAGTTTTTGTTGTTGTTGTTGTTGTTGTTGTTGTTTTGAGTTGGAGTCTCACTCTGTCGCCCAGACTGGAGTGCAGTGGCCGCTCCCAGCCACCACAGCCTCGACCTGCTGGGCTCCGGTGATCCTTCCACCTCAGCCTTCCAAGTAGCCGGAATTACAGGAATGCACTACCACGCCCGGCTGATTTTTTTATTTATTGTAGAGATGAGGTCTCGCTGCCCAGGCGGGTCTCGAACCCGTGGGCTCAGGCAATCCACTCACCTCAGCCTCCCAAAGGCGCGGGATTACAGGCTGAGCCACCCAGCCCAGCTTGTTTAACAGTTTTTGCTGGTGTTTCTTCCTTGTCCACAGGCCCAGTTTGATATCTCTGTAGCGAGTGAAATCATGGCTGTCCTGGCTCTCACCAGTTCCCTAGAAGACATGAGAGAAAGACTGGGCAAAATGGTGGTGGCATCCAGCAAGAAAGGGGAGCCCGTCAGTGCTGAGGACCTGGTGAGTTCTTGGCGTGCCAATCTTGGTGACACATCTGTGTCCATTGTCCTAGTGTCTTTCAGTAGTTATTAATTCCAAATTGACTGGGTGCAGTGGCTCACAACTGTAATCCCAACACTTGGGAGACCGAGGCAGGAGAATTGCTTGAATGCAGGAGTTGGAGACTAGCCTGGGCAACATAGTGAGACCTTATCTGTACAGAGAAATTTTAAAATTAGCTAAATATGATGGCTTGTGCCAATAGTCCCGGCTACCAGGAGGCTGAGGTGGAAGGATTACCTGAGCCCAGGAGGTTGAGGCTGTGGTGAAGTGTACTCCTGACACTGCACTCCAGCTTGTATGACAGAGTGAGACCCCGACTCAAAAAAATAATTTGTAATAAAATTTGTGCTCTACTTAAGATGTTGCAATTAACTCATCAGTTCATTTCCATTTTGCTAATTACAAGATAATTATGAAATATGTAAAAAGCACTTCATAATGAATAGTAGGTTGTAAGCAATCCTATTCGGCTAATTAAAAGATAGTTATGAAATATGTACAGAATACTTCATAGTGAATAGTACCATGTGGTGCGCCAGGAATAGACCACAAGTTCCAGGTGACTTGAGTAGCATCTTTATCCCGTATCTCCAAGAGCAAGTGCATGACTTCAATTTGCAGAGAGCATTAAGGGAGCCATTGATTTATCTTTGTCACCAGTTGGTTCGACTATGGTTGATAGCTTCACAGAGGGACCTGGCATTGAGGAGTTGGTATTGAGCTCCTGGGTTGTATTTCAACCTCAGCTTTGAGAAACGCATACTGAATTTGGTTTTTGGCCTTTTCTCCCTAGACAGCTCAGTACTAGAAGCCAGCTGTCCATGCTCTAAATGAGTCTGATATGGATTCCCCCATCAGTCAGTGGCAGCACTTGATTGGGATGCTTGTTTCCAGAGTCACATGTTTTTTCAGAAGTTGCCTGTGAATGTCATTTTCATTTTGTCTGTTTTCCCTGCTTAAAATAACCAGTAACTTCTGTTAGGTACAGTGGCTCACACTTGTAATCCCAGCACTTTGGGAGGCCAAGGCAGGAGGATTGCTCGAGACCAGCCTGGGCTATATATAGCAAGACCCCGTCTCTATAAAAAAATTTAAAAATTGGCTGGATGTGGTGGCTTATATGTGTAGTCCCAGCTACTTGAGAGGTTAAGGCAAAAGGATTGCCTGTGCCTAGGAGGTCGAGGCTGCAGTGAACCGTGATCACCTAGTCACTCCAGCCTGGGTGACAGACCGAGACCCCAACTCAGAAAAAAAACAAAACAAGAAACTGGTAACTTCATAGTATATTCAGACAACAGCAACAGGCATGGATGGGCCAGTTCAAGTGACCACGATGGTAAAGAGGGAAGGCCTGGAATGCTGTGCATTGGTTTCAGAAGGCTGCTGCCAGGATCTCACGCTTCCCATGTTCATTTCTCAGGGAGTGAGTGGCGCGTTGGCGGTGCTTATGAAGGATGCCATCAAGCCCAACCTCATGCAGACGTTAGAGGTGAGTCTGAGCTGGCTCTGCACAGTCTACAGAGGGGCTGTGGGCACTCTCCCTGGGTGTCAGAGACTGCCTCCACCTGCCCCTCCCTTTCTCCTGTTCTTTCCCACTACTGTGACAGGGACATGCCGGAAATAAAAGAGAAGACTTGGTGTTTTCCCTCTGGAAAGTCATTTTCATTCGGATTCTAACTGACTTCCATGCCCTTGACCATGATCCATTCTGAAGCAAGATTAGCCACTTTGCTCACGGTGTCCCGGTTTACACAGGGCACCCCAGTGTTTGTCCACGCCGGCCCATTTGCCAACATCGCACACGGGAATTCCTCAATCATCGCAGATCGGATCGCCCTCAAGCTGGTTGGCCCAGAAGGATTTGTAGGTGAGTACTTTTGCAAAATTGCTTTTCTTGGAACACCAGGGGAGTCAGGATGGCATGTTACAGTTGTTCTTCTCCTTACTTACAGTGACGGAAGCAGGATTTGGAGCCGACATTGGAATGGAGAAGTTCTTCAACATCAAGTGCCGGTACTCTGGTCTCCAGCCTCACGTGGTGGTGCTGGTTGCCACCATCAGAGCACTGAAGATGCACGGGGGCGGCCCCACGGTGAGGTCTGGGGCTTGACGGGTCTGACTGTGGGCAGCCTTCTGAAGGCCAGAAGGAAGTGGGGTGACCCGTGCCTGCTTCTTCATTAAGTTGCTCTTGTCCTCATGATCAACAGGGTGTCAGAGGCAAAGGACAGGCAGACAGCCCTCGTGCTGGCCACCTCATCCCACAGGCACCATCAGCTCTTGGCGTTTTACCAGCACTGTATGGCTACATGGCCCACCTTCCCAAGGAAATCATCTTGTATCTAGGCCCCTCCAAGGACGAGTGCTTGGCCATCCCCACAAAAAATGCCTATGCTCAGACTGTTCTTACTAAATCTAAATCCCATTTTCCCTCTAAACACTGACACCAGCAGCCAACCAAAGCATTTAGCTGAGACAGGCGTCAGCCCCTCTTGAGTAGTTCATGCTGGACCCCAACTACTGGAGTGGGAGGAGGAAAGAGGAAGGATAGATCTGCTCGGGACAGCTCTTGGTCATAGAACTTGGTATTTTCCTGAATTCCTGCTGTCTAGATATTGTACTTTTTTTTTTTGAGTTGGAGTCTTGCTCTATTGCCTAGGCTGGAGTGCAATGGCATGCTCAGGGCCACCGCAGCCTCGACCTGCTGGTCTCAGGCCATTCTTTTGCCTAAGCCTTCCAAGTAGCTGGAACTACAGGCATGTACCACCAAGCTCGGCTCATTTTTCTTGATTTATTGTAGAGATGAGGTCTCAACAAGTTGTCTAGGCAGTCTCGAACTCGTGAGCTCAGGCAATCCTCCTACCTTGGCCTCCTTTTAAAGTACTGGGATTATAGGCGTAAGCCACTGCGCCTGGCCTGATACTGTATTTTTTTTTTGGAGTTGGAGTCTCACTCTGTCACCCAGACTGGAGTGCAGTGGCCACTCCCTGCCACCGCAGCCTCGATCTGCTGGGCTCCGGCGATCCTGCCTCAGCCTTCTAAGTAGCTGGAACTACAGGCGCGCGCTACCACACCCGGCTCATTTTGATTTATTGTAGAGATGAGGTCTCGCCAAGTTGCCCAGGCAGGACTCGAACCCGCGGGCTCAGACATTCCACTCACCTCAACCTCCCAAAGACGCGGGATTACAGGATGAGGCACCGAGCCCGGCTGTATTTTTTTTTTTTTTAAGTTGGAGTCTCACTCTATTGTCTAGGCTGGAGTGCAGTGGCCCACTCACGGCCACCCCAGCATCAACCTGCTGGGCTCCAGCGATCCTTTCACCTCAGCCTTCCAAGTAGCCGTTACCACACCCACCTTTTTGATTTATTGTAGACAAGGTCTTGCCAAGTTGCCTGGGCTAGTTTCTGACCTGTGGGCTCAGGCAATCCACTTACCTTGGTCTCCCAAAGTGCTGGGATTACAGGCTTAGCCACCGAGCCCGGCCGATATTGTATTTTTTATCCTACTATTTTAATACCTTTTCCTCAGAACCTGCATGTAGTTTTCTGAAATCACTTGACATATTCAATTCCTATTCTCCAGGAACTTGTAACTCACGAGATAAGACCTCCCTCACCTAAAAATAATGTCAGTATTTCTTGGTGTGATCATGGCTTGTCTAAAGAGCTAATCTCAATTGTTTGGGCCCCAGAACCTCTTTATAGTCCTGGACATTCTTGAGCGCCTCAGAGAGCTTTTGTTTATGTGAGCTATAGCTGTTGATGTTTACTATATTAGAAATTAAAACTGAGTTGCGTGTTCACATAAAGAACTTTTTCTTCATGAACATTTCCTATCCCCCCCCCCCCCCAATGTAGGCATTGTACATTTTCCAGATGTCTTCTGGATCTGGCTTAATAGAAGACAGCCGGATTCTTGTTTTCTGCATTTGGCCTGCTGTGACATCACGTGCCACGTGACCTTTGAAAGAGTCCCTTGTACACTCAGTAAGAGAATGCGAGTGACAGGGCCATAGCATCTGATGGAACCTTCTGGAAATAGTTTGGACCTCATGTACCCCCTGAAAGGATTAGATCCCCAGACCACACTGAGAATACTGTCATAGCACAACCCTAGCACACCTCTCCAGTGTGCTGTCCCCCACATACCAAAGGCGCTCCCAACCCGGGACCCTCTTTTGCTAGTAGTGCAAGATAGACTCACTTTTTCTTCCCACATTTCTCTTTTGCACCCCTTTGCTCACCCTGGCCATTGTGCCTGCTTTCCTTCCATCCTCCTGACTTCATGGTCTAGAAACAACAGTGCTGGCACCTAACCTGGGGCACTGAGAGGAGGGCTTTGCACAAACAGTTCGGCCAAGGAGCCATACTCACTGCTCTCGGTACCCTGAAAACAGGAAGGCCTATGAGGTCCCTGCTTCCTATCCTGCCTCCACGTGATCCCTTCTGGAGTTGGGGCACTTTGGTCTCCCTGGGCAGCAGGAGAGGACCGAGCTGGAGGCTTCTCAGTCATGGTCCACTGCCCACGTTGGGTGCAGGAAACCAGCACCTTGGGTGAGCCACCACACAGGTCAGGGTAGGTCCCCCAGGCACCTCCATCATGCACTCACTGCTTAACTCTAGGGCCACCTTTACATATTCTCTGTGACAGGAGGAAGAGCCTTCTGTGGTGTTTCCCTCTTGTCTGTATTGTTCCTGCACCACGTTCAGCTCCAACCAGTGGCAGTGGGGCTAGGGACCAGCTTGTCAATGGAGTAGTCGTCACAGGCTTCAGTGACAGACATTCACGGTGGCTTCTGCAGGGCCAACAGCTGCCTTTTCTTTCTCCACTCTCTCTACTTCCAGCCCCACTCTGTGGCCTTCACTGCATGAGCCCCTGCCCCTGTCTGGGACACATCCCTGTCCACCTCTCCTGCCGCACATCTGGCCTTTCACTCCTTAATTCAGCTCTCAGCGATCTCCCACTGCGCTCAAGACAGGTGTTTTCATCCTGTGATGTATGATTGGTCATGTGTCCTAAGTCCTCAGGGTAGGAAACAACCTCCTACCACTGTCTGTGACCCTGAACGTGCAGCCTCTTGCCTCTGACATGTGACAAGCACCGTTTTAAACTAGAATCTCATTGTAAGTAGGAGCCGCCTCTGACTCTGTATCCTTTCCTTCCAGGTCACTGCTGGACTGCCTCTTCCCAAGGCTTATGTAGAGGAGGTAACGTCAGCTATTTCTAATTCCTTGTCTTAGAAATCACCACACTTTGAGCCAGCACATCTCTACCTGGCCTGTGTGGAAGTGAATGGACATTGCCATAACCTGGGGGTGCCGGAAGCCAAGAGGCCCACAGGACACTGAGGGTTGTGTTAAATGAATAAATAGGGAAGTTGTGCCTCGCAAAACAGCTGCCCCACTCAGGATGTCAGTAAGCCACTGCCCTAGACCAGCGGTTGCTTCCCAGCAGTGGTGATTTTGTCTTCAGGAGACATGTGGCAGTGTTTACAGATAATTTTGATTGTTTGTTTTGGTTTTGTTTTTTTAAAGATGTGGGGTACAGAAGCAAATAGAGACCATTTTTGAAATGCCTTTTCCTCTGCAAATTTCAAATCATATTAAGAGGTCAAGATCTGGTCAGGATCCTGGAGGTTTTCTAGGCAATGCTGCCATAGCTGGTTTGGTTTATAACATCAAACAGGAGCCTAAAGACCAATTTTGAGCTCTAACCTCTCCATATTTATATCATTTACCATCAAAGAATCATCTCCAGAGCCAGTTCCGGGTGGTTACATGAAAGACAGGCCCTCAGATAAGATAACAGGGTCCACCGCTGTCACCGTTAATTGTATTTTTCTGTCTTTGGTGGGGGCTTTTAAATTACCAAGCAATACAGGGTCACCATTCAGGCCCCAGATGAAATATTTCCAAGTTGACTAGAAAAAAATAGTTAGTGCCTCGCATCTGCCTGTCTTCTGAGTTCTGGTTTGCCTTTTTTGGTCATTTGTCTGACTCACACGTGGGAGGGGAATTCACAGTTCTGGCCCTCCTGCCACCCCTCAGCCTTTCCTGTGTCTAATTACAGTGACTGCCCCTCGCTGGCCCAGCTGGTGTCTTCATTTAAGAAAATGTTCTTGTTCAAAACGGTTCTCGATCAGTCTCACATATTAGTTGGTTTCCATGTGACTAGGGGTAAAGAATTAGCAGTGCTCTTTTTTATTTTTATTTTTTGAGTTGGAGTCTCACTCTGTCACTCAGGCTAAAGTGCAGCGCTATGCTCACGGCCATTGCAGCCTCGACATGCTGGGCTTAGCTGATTCTTCCATCTCAGCCTTTCAAGTAGCTGGAACCACAGGTGTGCGCTACCACACACGACTTATTTTTTGATTTATTGTAGAGATGAGGTCTTGCCAAGTTGCCTGGGCTGGTCTTGAACCCGTGGGCTCAAGCAATCCACTTGCCTCGACCTCCCAAAGTGCTGGGATTACAGCAGTGCTCTTTAGATTATCAAGTAAATCCTAATCTTGGTTTTCTGCTATTAAAGACAAAAAACCCAAATCATGTTGACAGTGATCCTGGTTGTTTTCCACCTTTATCCTACCCATTTCTTCTGCCATTTTGGGGTATCCACAAACCAAGCACTGGGTTTTACTCATGATTCTATGTATGTATTTTTATAGAAGACTACTTTTTTTTTTTTGAGTCAGAGTCTCACTCTGTAGCCCAGGCTGGAGTACAGTGGTACAGTGCTCACGGCCACCACAGCCTCGACCTGCTGGGCTCAGGAGATCCTTCTGCCTCAGCTTTCCAAGTTGCTGGAACTACAGGCACACGCCACCATGCCTGGCTAATTTTTTAATTTATTGTAGAGATGAGGCCTTGCCAAGTTGCCCAGGCTGGACTCGAACCCGTGAGCTCACGCAATCCTCTCGCTTCAGCCTCCCAAAGTGCTGGGATACAGGCATGAGCCATCATGCCTGGCCGACTATTTTATTTTTAAAATACTTAATGTATTTTTAAGCTTAATAGTAACATACTGTTTGTAAAAAAAAAAGAAAAGAAAAAAATTAAACATTACAAGAATATAACGTATGTGAGTTGGATCCCCCTAACAGTTGCATATTTCTCAACATTTAAAAAAAAGTATGAATTTTACACGCGTTTTTGTGTTTATCCAGAAATAGAATTAATTAAGCTCTCCATAGTTTTGCAGCTTTATTTAGTACATCCTGGACAGGTTCCATGTTAACACAGATGTGTCTCATTTTTCTAACATCTGCATGGTGAATGTTTATTGAGTATATATATCATCATTCATTGACCTAGTCCCCTACTGAAGGAGGTTTGTGTCTGATTATCCAATGCTGCAAGCAGGGATGCAGAAAACATACTTAAAGGCATGTTTCCTTGATGACTTCCCTTTAGACTTTATAGCATTTAGTTCTCTTTGTTTTGAGTTGGGGTTCTCATTCTGTTGCCCCGTCTGGAGTGCAGTGGCGTAATCACGGCTTACCACAACCTCGACCTCCTGGGCTCAAGCAATTCTTCTGCCTCATCCTCTCAAGTAGCTGGGACTATAGGTGTGCGCCACCATGCCTGGCTAATTTTCTAATTTTTTTTGTAGAAATGTGGTCTTGTTACGTTGCCCAGGCTGGTCTTGAACTCTCGGGCTCAAGCAATCCTCCCACTTCAGCTTCCTAACAGGTGTGAGCCACCTCACCCAGGCTCTTTGGTTCTTAAAGATAGCGTTTGACTTATGTGCTATAAATATTCCCACTTTACCCACATGGACCTAGTGAAGGTTCATGGTTGAATTCATTAAAACCTTTGAAAGCGGCCAGGTGCGGTGGCTCATGCCTACGGTCCCAGCACTTTGGGAGGTAGAGGTGAGAGGATTACTTGAGCCCAGGGGTTCGAGACCAGCCTGAGCAACATGGAGAGACCTCGTCTCTATGATAAATCAAAAAATTAGCCAGGTGTGGTAGTGCATGCCTTGGTCCCAGCTACTTGAAAGGCTGAAGCAGAAGGATCACTTGAGCCCAGCAGGTCGTGGCTGCAGTGGCTGTGAGCGTGCCACTGCACTCCAGCCTGGGCGACAGAGTAAGATTCCGACTCAAAACAAAACAAGCCTTTGAAAGCATTATGGCCGGGCTCAGTGGCTCAGCCTGTAATCCCGCACCTTGGGAGGCTGAGGTGAGTGGATTGCCTGAGCCCGTGGGTTCGAGACCCGCCTGGGCAGCGAGACCTCATCTCTACAATAAAAATCAAAAAATCAGCTGGGCGTGGTAGTGCATGCCTATAATTCCGGCTACTCGGAAGGCTGGGCGACCGAGTGAGACTCCAACTCAAAAAAAAAAAAAAAGAAAGCATTATGGCTACTGATTACTTCATATTTCCCTACAGTATTTATGGCAGTGGGATAACGAATGCCTCTTTTGTGCCAGGCACTGTGCTAGGTTCTGTCTTCAGCGGAAGAGTCTGTGCCATACTGAGTAGAGTCAGTTTGTGTCATCATACCCTATAGTACATAAAATCTATACACACACAATTTATAAATATAATTTGTGTAGGGCAGCCCATTCCTTTCAAACAGCAAATAAGCTATTACGAAATGGTGTAATGACAGCAAATGCGCCAGCTCCATGTTTTCCAGACAGTGGGGACACAACCACAGCTCTGCCCCAGTGTCCTGGGCTGGGCTGCATCCCCCCCGCCCCACAGCACCTGCTCCCTGCGCTGTGTGCAGCGCACGAGGGACCGTCTCTGCCGGCCTCCTTGGCCTGACAGCGAGTAGCTTTCCCTCGTAAGAAGAACTAGCATCTCTTTTTAGCTCTGCTCCTGACCTCAAGTCCTTTCCCTTGTTTTTGCAGAACCTGGAGCTGGTGGAAAAAGGCTTCAGTAACTTGAAGAAGCAAATAGAAAATGCCAGAATGTTTGGAGTGCCGGTGGTAGTGGCCGTGAATGTGTTCAAGTAAGCGCCGTGTGTGAGAGGAGAGACGTGCTGTGGAGATGCTAGAAAGCGTCACCTGGAGCTGCCTGTGTGACTCTGCTTCCAATTCCTCCTACTGATCGCAGCCCGTGGCTAGCCTGCGGCGTGACAGGCACCACGCACGTCATAACAGACTCGCCCCCTCACTTGCCCGGCCCCCAGAAGTCACACTGGGCTGCCGTGGCCCCTTTCTCTCCAATGGGTGGAGCGGGTAACACACAGTCCTAAATTAGATGTTCTTTTTTGTTCCGTGGGAGCTTTTTGTGTGGCCGGGAGGCCACAGGCCTACAACATTCCATTATTTTACCGGGGCTGGTAGGATATGATCTTGACAAAGAGTGGAACATGTTTGAGCTGATGTGTTCACAAGAACTGGTGTGGGTTGTTTAGGTATTGTACTTCTGGTTTGGGTTTTGTTACTGGGGCCTCATCACAGTGGAAGGGGAAGCGGCGTTTTTCAAAGCTAGTATGTACTGATTCCTTGTGGTGTGCTGGGAACGTTCCGAGTACTTTACATGGATGTGCCTCTGAGCCTCGTGACATTGCAACAAAATGAGTGCTCTGATTATTCCATTTTACCCACGTGGAAATTGAGGCTCGCAAAGATTAAGTAACGGTGGTGGCCAAAGTCACCCCGCTAGTAAGTGTGGCGCTGAGACTCAGATGCAGGCAGCACTTGTTGACTGGTGTCCATTTACCAGTGGGTGATTCACGTGGCTTTTAATGGCAAAAAGAAGATGTGTTCTGTCCTGCTGCCCTCTCCATTCCGTAACGTGAAGCGCTGCCTTTGCAGGACCGACACTGAGGCTGAGCTAGACCTCGTGATCCGCCTGGCCAGGGAACACGGGGCTTTCGATGCCGTGAAGTGCACGCACTGGGCGGAAGGGGGCAAGGGCGCTGTGGCCCTGGCTCAGTCCGTGCAGAGGGCAGCGCAGGCGCCCAGCAGCTTCCAGCTCCTCTATGACCTCCAGGTGGGTTGCTTACTGTACGTGGAAAAGAGAACAAAAAGCACAGCAAGGTCTGTGGCTACCAGTTTAGAGCCCTGTTTTGCAGCTTCCGCCTTGTGATTTGATTCTCACATTGGTAAATTACACGACCACAGCCTAGACTGTAGCCAGCTTTCTTCTGTCTTCTTTTTTTTTTTTTGAGTCTACTTCTCACTTTATTACCCAGGTTGGAGTGTACTAGCACCATCTTGGCTTACTGCAACCTCAACCTTCTAGGGTCAAGTGATCCTCCCACCTCAGCCTCCTGAGTAGCTAGGACTGGAGGTGTACACTACCATGCCTGGCTGAATTTTTTTTTCTTAAGAGAGATGAGGTCTCTCTTTGTTGCCCAGGCTGGTCTCGAACTCCTGGGCTCAAGCAGTTCTCTTGCCACAGCCTCCCAAAGTGCTGGGATTACAGGTGTGAGCCACCATACCCAACATTAGCCAGCTTTCTCACCAATATGTGCTGCTGCTTACTTATAGAGCAGGGGTCCAGGAAGAGTACTTGGGAGGTTGGCTCACATCCTAACTTGTGAAAAAAGCTCATGGTACAGAGCCTTTTGCTCGCAGAAAAGAGGATTCTATATCAACCAAGTGTGTAATTCAGTCCAGGGCATCAGCCGTGTTGTAGCAAATTGGCAAAGGGACTACATCAAGCTCACAAAAATTGGCTGACCCCTTCTCAGTAACAGGGGTCAGAGTGTGCTTTCTGGCTCACTTCCTGACGTGGTGCCGCCTCGGGTTCAGAGCCCTCAGGTACAAAACCAAAGTACCTCGGCAAACTTCATCATTTTTTCCATCACTGAGCAAATTAACTTACATCTGGCCTATGCGGAAGCCCTGCTTATTCTATGATATAATCAAGTTAGCTCAGAAAAATGTGGTTCTTTTTCTAGGATTGTGTTTTATTTACAGTTCTCTGTTCCATGCATTTCAGGATGTGACTGAATATCAAGTTGTATGGCCACAACAACTGGACACTTTCTTATCATGGAATGCATCTTGTAGTGAATTCTGCCTGCCTCAGCCTCCCAAGTAGCTGGAACTATAGGCGCGTGCCACCACGCCTGGCTGATTTTTGAAATTTTATTGTAGAGATGAGGTCTCACTGTGTTGCCCACAGTGAGGCTGGTCTTGAACTCCTGGGCTCAGGAAATCTTCTCATCTCAGCCTCTCAAAGTGCTGGGATTATAGTCGTAAGCCACTGCGCCCACCAAATTCTGCTTGTATTCTTAGATTAGTTTTTGGCTTGGTTTTTAAAAGCTAATCAGACTTTCAAAAGTAGCCGTAAAAAGAAGGAAAGAAGCTGGGCTCGGTGGCTCAGCCTGTAATCCCAGCACTTTGGGAGGCTGAGGTGAGTGGATTGCCTGAGTCCACA